CATTAATACAAATCCATGGTCTATCCACTGCCGAATGAAGGTTTCCCCATGCCATCGCTATCTCCGGATGCAACAATCCATTTATCTCTTTAATACAGATTTTTTTTGGGGGGGTTAGATGGCGTAAATATATAAATGTGTCGTTAAACCCGCCACCACCCGACACAGCCAATTAGTAAGGTTTGTCACGTAAACATAACATGCCAATTCCTTACTAGTATCACTTGGCAGTGGTGTTGCTGCTAGCCCATTTTGGGGGGGCTAACACAATTTATTTTGGGGGGCCCCACTTTCATCAATCTATAAAATGCTACTGAAATGACAGAGGAGATATAGAAGATATATATAGATGTTGTGAGATAAGAGAAATGCAGACATGAATAACGATGTGAGATTACAGACAAGATAGAGAGACGAGACTAGTTTGCATTTAATGTTAATTGGTTTACGTGTATTGGTATTTCAATGTCTCCGCTGATATTTAATGCACGCCTTGTTTTTTTCTGTTTCGTGAAACCGGAGGTTTGCTCGAGAGCTGCTTGGAAAACCCCACGCTTTTGCGCGCACTCATTGGTTCTGCTTCGAGCTATAGCACCGCCAATTTCCCGGGCGCATGATCCACGGGGGCATTAGAACAGCACTTAAAAGCCACTTCAGTCCCTCTGGTGGGAGCCCAGAATGTGTGAGTGGCGCCTGGGCAATGCGAGCACGAACTCTGTTGGGCGAGAGTGAGAGAGACGCGGACGCAAGTCAGAGCACGCACGGTTTTGAGTGGAAGCTAAGCAGCTCGCTGCCTCTCTACCAAGTGCTCCCTTTCTTCACGACGATGGCATAGAGCGGGAGCAACGCCGGACGTCTATGGGGAAAAAATGACACCTCATTCGAGACCCGAACATCGCGTGGAACCTACTGGCTTCGACATTTCTCCTCGAAGACACTGGTGGAACCATCGATCGCGTCGTATCATCGGCAAGCCGATGTGCGACATCTCCTTCCTGAATGGGACATTAAAGATACGAGCCACAGTCGTGCGATTGTGGTCATGCAACCCAAGCCTTTGGACAGTAAAGTAAACCCATGAAAACCCACAGCTGGCGACCCCACAGAAATGCACAGACACATAGAGACCCATATTGTGGCCATGCAACCCAAGCTATGGACGGTATTGTAAACCACTGTAGTCCACGCTCTTTCAACGGAGGAGTAGCAAAAAACAAACTCTCTCTCTCCTGAATGCCTCTCGCGGCCAGTAGACCTCAACATTGGCGTTTAGCTGTCGAACATAACAGCTAACCGCACGCAGGGATATAATAGAATGACGACGGAACGCCGGAACACCTCAATCGCTAACCCTTGCCTTTAAAACGTGCTTCGCGCATTGCGACACAGACCCACAGACCGCGGTCATCTGACTTGAAATTCCCAGTCACTACACTGCACGATGTGTCATCCAGTGGAGGAGCACAGTATATATAAACCGGTCCTATTGCCTTCTTCAGGTGGACTCAGCCCTAAATGAGTAGGCCTATCTGGTGCGGTATGTTAAAATATAATCAGTCCTCACCACCCAACAGTCCGTATGGTTAGACCACGTGTCGGCAAACAAAATATCAAGAGCCATTTTCTTTTCAAATTTAGTAAAATAAAAAAAAATCCCCCTCTATATTTCAAAGTGCCGCAATGCATGTGAATACGAGACGGTCTTTCATAAATAACAGTCCTTAAAGAGCCGCATTCGGTTCCGGAGACTGTACGGGAGGGATCCTCGTACATGTTGTGCGTATAGGAGTTGAGTATGCAAGTGAGTCAACACCACTGAGACCGCGGGGTTGACTCTTGGGTTGAGGCTGATGATGCCTCTGCCAGGCTAGGTCCATACGCACGCAGGATATGCGGGGGGACCTTTCTCTTTGATCAAATGCATGATTTACAAAAGAGCGGCCTGCCTAACCCCCCCTCCCCCCAACTCGCCTCGTTCTGGTCTCTTTAACCTCCAATTAGCACGGATGGCTACGTAGGGAGCAAAAACAAAGCTCAGCATGCATACATCAACGCAAGTTTAATAGAATTAGAACACCGCGTGCTGACGTCGCAGCGCTCATTATGTGTTTCCTCTCTCTCCCAATTCCGAATTCGAGTCGAGAGACGACGCGGGGATAGAGCGAGAGAGAGATGGGGGGGGGGAGAGTGCGCTCTGCTTCTTTGCGTGTTCGCTTTGTGTGTGCGTGCTTGTGTATCATTCTTTCATTGTGTGATTGTCATTTCATTGCTTGAAAGACCTTGCAGGAAATATACCTTCATCCCAACAGCCAATTGCAGAGAAGCCCATATCCGGTCGGCAAGGGCTTGGGGACGCGTGTGCATAATAATAATAATAATACCGTACTGAACTCTTTGTTATGTAGGCTGGGTGACAGCATGCGCGGGCACGTGTGCGTGAGCACTCCCAGCCACATTGGCGTTATGACACACATATCGCTCATTGGCTGCGACAGTGAAAGGGGCATTCAGGGTCCTAGAGGACATCCGCGGACCTCATCGGTGATGTTTCGATATGCCAATATTTCTCCTGATGACGATTGCTTGTGTTGCGATCGTGATATTTTCTTAAAATTATTTTTAATTCTCTTTATTTTTTATTTTTGTTATTTTATTGTTCTATCTACGTGATTTTACCGAAAGACCCAAAGAACATTAATTCCTGCAGTCACGAATGCTTTAAGTCAACATTCCAACCGTTTTTTTGCTCGCCCCAAGGGTCTGTGGGTTGGGAAACATTCCCACCAACAGACCCTTAGGGCGAGTGCTGTACGCGGAGCATCACTAAGCAAGGTCGGCACGCGTGTGGGTGGCCAGCACCACGCCCGACCGCCTTTGTCTCCATTTGTTTATATCCATTGTAGTAAATTTGTGTGAATGGCTATATGCGCGCGTGCATGTCAATATGTCTTTTAGTTGTGGACGTGTGTATATGTACGTGTGTATAGGTACGTGTGTATATGTACGTGTGTATATGTACGCGTGTATATGTGTATAGGTACGTGTGTATAGGTACGTGTGTGTCAGTAGAATGACGGTCAGCGCGCTGTGTTACAAACCTGGCGACCCGGGTTCTATTCTCGCTCACGTCCAACACCAGTGACGATTATTTGAACCGGTCCTGGGCCTCCCCTAGGTCGGCTCAGCCTCAAATGAGTACCTGGTGCGGTGCGTAAACATCGACGGCCTTCATAGGTGCTCGCTCACAGCACTTGCCCCAACAGTCTGTTACAGGCTATACGGGGGGTCTTTGTCTTTTGTATGTGTCTATGTCTATTCGTATGTACGCGTGCATATCCATTGTCATCTTCTCGTGCCCTTGCATTGGTATATGTGCGTGAATGTCTACACGTCTCTTGCTACATATACAATAGGGAATAAACAGGCATAATGTGGGCGCCGCGGTGGTGACGTGTTAACTCCCTCGCCCGGTTTGCCGGAGGTCGTGGGTTCAATCCCGACCCTGCCGCCCGTTGTACATTTGGAGTTTGCGTATTCTCCTCGCAGTAGCGTGGATTTATAATCTGGGTCCTCCGAGTTTTCCCTCCACATTTTGAAATATGCATTTAGAGTATTTGGCTGCTATTAAATGTCCACGTGATAAGCCACTTCGATGAGATTTGTGGCCAGGTCGCTTCTGCAAAGAGCTACGTAGCTCAGTGGGTCTGACCTGGTACAATAAAAATTAAAATACACTTGTATATCAATTGGTATAGTTCGCTATGGTAAGGAAAATATGAGGGCGTTCGCCGCTTGTTGCAGCGTGGTCCACAGTTCGAATGCAGCGGCCGCCCTAGTTAATACCACGGGGCGAATTAGCCGGCAGAAAATAGGTGTCGTCTGCTTCACAGAGTGAACGTTGAAGGTTGGAGGTCCCGTGACGACGTCATTCGCAAGAAGGGGCCGATATATGCCGGTGTCAGGGTCCAAAATTGAAAAATTAATGGACTCGCAAACCACTCAAAATTGGAAGAAAAAAATTAAGCTGGTCATCAGGACAACATTTGAAAAATGTAATTCTTATCAGGCCCCGGATTGTAAAAAAGGGCTTTTTGACCGAAGCGTCGCCTGTTACATACATGTCCTTTCAAGGACATCCGGTGATATTGACGGATGTCGAGTTTTTTTTTCATATTTAAATATTGTATGCCACTGTGCTAGCGTGGAGTGCTAAATTGCGAGTTACGTCATCTCCCGCTGTTTGGCGTCACGCTCTTCACGCACTAGCCTCCCGTCCTCCCACTCGTTTTGCTAAGCGACGACAAAGCCAATGAATGTGACGGCGTGGGCGGTGGTGTGAGTGGTTGGCACGCTGCGTGCACTAAGGGGCCATCCATTGAGTCGGTACGCAAAAAATCTGTCAAAACTTGACCCATCCCATCCCTACCTGTACGCACGCTTGACGCTCCCCCCCCCCCGAATCCTATAGAACGGCCGATATTTAATCCACGCAGAAACGATCAAGGATTAATAATATTCACGTGTTTAAGCAAACAGATAGTCTACCGCCGGACTATCTAACTCATTTGAAGACCAAAGTAGACAAATTATTATCGAGGCTTTACACCCCCCCCCCCCCCGTTTCCTATGCGTACGCACATTGTCAGTAGACCCCCCCCCCCCCATACTCAAGCGTAAGTGCTTTGGGTTAACCCCCGGTCCCCCCTCCATGCGTACGTACTCCATGGATGGCCCCTAACAGCCCGGCGATCGGAGTTCGATTCCCGCTCACAGGCCACCAACACCAGCGACAATACATCTGAACCGATCTTGGGCCTCCCCTAGGTCTACTCAGCCTCAAATGATTACCTTGTGCGGTGTGTTAACATCACTGGGGAGACAAAGGCGACCGGGCGTGATGATGGCCACCCATTCCCTCGTGTGCCGTGCCGGCTTGTATAGCTGCTCGCTAACAGCACTTTCCCCAACAGTCTGTTAAAGGCTATTACGGGGAATCTTTTTCCTATATTCTTTGGTGGGGTGGTTGGGGGGGGAGGCGATGGGACGGCTCGGAGGAGGAGGAGGGGGGAGATTACATTTGTCACAGACGGTTTTCAGTCCAAGCGCGGTTGCCAGGAATACAACACACACACACATATCGGCTAAGTCAACAGCAACTACCGCAGCCGCAACAACAAGCGCCACTCTAAGCGGCCAGATAGTGAGGCAATACAGTCACGGAGTACAAGATAGAGAGATGGGACGGGGAGAAGGTATATCGTGGTCGATAATATTAGGGAACGGAGTATGAGGCTACGTATGTAGCGAGCGGTGTTTGTGAATAGTTTGAAGAGTATTATGTGCTGTAAGCCCCTGCGAGTTTGCAGACACGGCCACGGCTGCGTTAAGACTTTAAGTCAAACCCTCAGAAAATAGAATCTTAAATACATCTCACACTAAGTGCTGGTGACGACTGCTGTTGCTGGTGAGGAAGCGAGGTGGCAGATCTTGAACACCGACGCAGGTAATTAATCGCACCTCCGAATTAATGTGCAAATATAATTAGTGTGTGCATTCGTTGATAACGTCGTGTTTCGTTTCTGAAAATTCTTCAATTATTATTCCGTGTTCAAATCAAGACTAATTATATATTTAAATCGCTTTTATCCGTGCCATTCATTTTTTCACATCCTTTAGATAATTTCACTGCTGGATTAAGGCTTTACCACACCTTGTCGGTAATGGGATTGGGGGTGGGATTGGGGGTGGGATCGGGGGCGGGGGGAGAGACCCCAGGACTGGTTTCGATATCACTCGCCGACGACCATAGTCGTGGTCGGAAATCGAAATCAGGTCGGCAGGTTCGTAGCGCAGTGCGCTCAACAATGCGCGCCACCTGCCTGACGCCTACTGCCGTTAGTAAATGACCCGACAGCCGGCCTGACCCGTAACCCTGAATAAACAGCAGCCCTCACCATAGCAGAGTTCCAATAGCTCTCTCCAAAGTTACAATGGCGGTATAAGCGACCGCTAGTTCTAGACGCTCTTTATAAATGTTATAATTGCACGAGAGTTCACCTTTATTGTAATTATTTGAATGTATAAAATACAAAGGTCACATCCATCACGTAAATTCAACGTGACGGCCAAACAAATGTTTACGTGCGCCTGGATTTTGAACCGATGCAGAGTTTCATCCGGTGTCATTTCCACTCTGAGTCACTCCAAGTCAATGTTTCTCAACTCCAGTCATTGTATGGTTTGCCTTTCCGTGATTACGCAGTCTTGTAGATCTTAAACAATAAATGTACAGTGAGGGAAAAAAGTATTTGATCCCCTATTTGAATAGTGAGAGACAGAATAACAACAACAAAATCCAGAAAAACGCATGTCAAAAATGTTATAAATTGATTTGCATTTTAATGAGGGAAATACGTATTTGACCCCCTCTCAATCAGAAATATTTCTGGCTCCCAGGTGTCTTTTATACAGGTAACGAGCTGAGATTAGGAGCACACTCTTAAAGGGAGTGCTCCTAATCTCAGCTTGTTACCTGTATAAAAGACACCTGTCCACAGAAGCAATCATTCAGATTCCAAACTCTCCATCATGGCCAAGACCAAAGAGCTCTCCAAGTATGTCAGGGACAAGATTGTAGACCTACACAAGGCTGGAATGGGCTACAAGACCATTGCCAAGCAGCTTGGTGAGAAGATGACAACAGTTGGTGCGATTATTCGCAAATGGAAGACACACAAAAGAACTGTCAATCTCCCTCGGCCTGGGGCTCCATGCAAGATCTCACCTCGTGGAGTTTCAATGATCATGAGAACGGTGAGGAATCAGCCCAGAACTACACGGGAGGATCTTGTCAATGATCTCAAGGCAGCTGGGACCAGTCACCAAGAAAACAATTGGTAACACTACGCCTTGAAGGACTGAAATCCTGCAGCGCCCGCAAGGTCCCCCTGCTCAAGAAAGCACATATACATGCCCGTCTGAAGTTTGCCAATGAACATCTGAATGATTCAGAGGACAACTGGGTGAAAGTGTTGTTGTCAGATGAGACCAAAATGGAGCTCTTTGGCATCAACTCAACTCGCCGTGTTTGGAGGAGGAGGAATGCTGCCTATGACCCCAAGAACACCATCCCCACCGTCAAACATGGAGGTGGAAACATTATGCTTTGGGGGTGTTTATCTGCTAAGGGGACAGGACAACTTCACCGCATCAAATGGACGATGGACTGGGCCATGTACCGTAAAATCTTGGGTGAGAACCTTCCCTCAGCCAGGGCATTGAAAATGGGTCATTGATGGGTATTCCAGCATGACAATGACCCAAAACACACGGCCAAGGCAACAAAGGAGTAGCTCAAGAAGAAGCACATTAAGGTCCTGGAGTGGCCTAGCCAGTCTCCAGACATTAATCCCATAGAAAATCTGTGGAGGGAGCTGAAGGTTCGAGTTGCCAAACGTCAGCCTCGAAACCTTAATGACTTGGAGAAGTAATAATAGGGGTTTTCCCCTTTTTTTTGGCAACATTAACCACAATACCTGCAGTCAAAATGCAAACAAAAAACATTCTATGATAATATATGCATTGTCCTTGAAACTAATTGGTTCACACCAAGGGACGGCTTTCTTTTGAGCCTCGACCCAATTGGTGCTCGACCAGATGACGCCAAAAGGCGTACAGCTCAAAGACAATGCACTATCAAAGTAATGAGGGCTCGGGGTGAGCATCTACATCATTAGACCTCCTTTGCCAGTACCAAAATGTAATAATTGGGTTTTTCCCCTTTTTTTCTGGCAACAAAACTGAAACTGGAGAAAATCTGCAAAGAGGAGTGGGACAAAATCCCTCCTGAGATGTGTGCAAACCTGGTGGCCAACTACAAGAAACGTCTGACCTCTGTGATTGCCAACAAGGGTTTTGCCACCAAGTACTAAGTCATGTTTTGCAGAGGGGTCAAATACTTATTTCCCTCATTAAAATGCCAATCAATTTATAACATTTTTGACATGCATTTTTCTGGACTTTTTTGTTGTTATTCTGTCTCTCACTGCTCAAATAAACCTACCATTAAAATTATAGACTGATCATTTCTTTGTCAGTGGGCAAACGTACAAAATCAGCAGGGGATCAAATACTTTTTTTTTCTCACTGTAGAGACGCAGCCCAACCTTTACATGTTCATGCCGCTGCTGCCAGAAGGGCCTCCCTAAGAGAGAGAGAGAGCTCTATAAATCCCCTCTAAGATGGTAATTGGCCTACTCTTCCATACTGGCCTGGTGTCTTGGAAAATGTGGGAGCACAACCACACTTTACCCCAGCACACGTGACCTGTCGATCGACTTCCTGTGGTGAACCCATTTATGCTGCTGTGGGTGGACAGACGCAGGGTGGCTAGAGAGATGCCAGGGGGGGGGGGGGGGTTAAAAAAAACTATTAATTGTTTCAACTACCGCGTCGAGGGATCGAACTGCCAACCGATGCATGGCGTGCAAGTCCAGTGTGCTAACCGTGAACAGGAACAGAGGCATCACAGCCGTTACTATTCACACACGCGAATTGGAGCCACTGCACGCATATGATGGTTGGTAACAGGGTCATCCATAGGGTGGCCCGGGGAAAATCACACCGCGTGCCCACCCCTCCCCCCCAAAACGCGGGGCCCGGGGCGTTTGCCCCGATTCGCCGTACTCCTCGGGGGACGGCTCTGGTTGGCAATCACGGACAGCTGGGAGCGTGGGGGGGGGGGTGCGTCACGAGGCCTAGAGTCGGGAAACACTGCGCTAAGTAGGCGGACGTCGTCTGCACGTGTTGTGATCTTACCGCTCAGTGTCATCGGGGGCAATTGTCCTGCGAGGCGGCCACCATGACTCTGCTCGACTTAGACCGTCACTGTGCAAGTAACACACGCGTTTAATATTCTGATTCACTATGTAACACGATTTTTGTTCCTGGGTAGTAAGTGCTATTTTATAATTGCTTATGCCTCAAAAGTATAGAAAATGGCTATTGTTATTCCCCACAAACTTTGCTTTTGTGACCAGGACTTTACGTGAAGGAATGACACAAATGCACACCACGTTTTCTCATTGAAAATAGGTACATTTTAAAATATCACTGTCCTGGTCACAAAAGCAAAGTTTGTGGGGAATAACAGCCATTTTCTGTACTTTTGAGGCATAAGAAATTAGGAAATAACACTTACTACCCAGGAACAAAAAATATCTAAATTTGTTACACAGTTAATTATAATACATACACGTCGGCGGTGAGTCTCATCAGCTGGAGAATACGGTCACGCGAAATATATCGCATTTTGCTATAAGCGTTCAATTATTAAATCTGAATCGTCAGTTATCAAGTGTGATTTTTAAATTACAAAAAAATGAGTTCTCAATGCCGAAAAACGAATTGTCAATGATCACGTCGTTATTTTCAATTTAAAATCTTTCAATTGTGAAATAAATTTTTCAATTTTGAAATTGTGAATTCTCACCCACAGCCAATCTCTGTATTAATTTCCGCGTATCACAGGTGCCATGGCAACGGTGATGGTGAATGGACTGCGGGGGCTAGGATTTGTGAATGGTGGGACCGACCTCCTGACGTCGGGAAGACGCAGAGACCCAAAACATCACCATCGTCATCAGCAGCAGCAGCCGCATCATCATCAGCAGGAGCAGCAGCAGCATCGTGATTTCGAGAGGATGTTGCAAGCTGTGGCGGCCTGGATGACACAATGGGACCACTCCCAAGTACTGTTGTTATTCGCACGTGCGTTATCGCAATCCCAACTCCACGGGCAGAAATATCAGGCAAATAAAAATAGACGCCTGTTTTTGAAGTCATCCAAATGATTTGCTCCCCTCCACTGCCAACCCCAGCGCTTGCAGCAGACGATTCGTCACGATTCGTGCAGAGCGTAAGAACAAACATAATACGCTTACGTTACGTTTAGGCTCGCAAATTAGACCGAAATATACAATAAACAATACAAACTAACGCGACACAATTATATACACCGAAATAGGATACATTCGTGAATAGAATCGTGACATCCTGACCAAGCCGTTGCCAATGGGTGGAGGGTGAATTATACCATGCCGAATACATAGTAGACGGTTCGTCAATCGACAGAGCGCGTGCCTGGTGGTAAAGTGTGAGTAGGTCTGTCCTCGTTCAAGACATCTGGCCAGTGTGGAAGGATGTCGGCCGCAATGCCCTCTAGTGGAGGCCTCTGCCACGAGCAGCGGCGCGAGCGAGCAATTTCAGAGCTGCGCCTTTGCCCTTTAACTGAGAAACGAGAGCAAAGTTAACCACGCTGCCGCTGATTGTACGTTCGCGCGCGCGCGCGTGCGCGTGTGCCAGTCGGTCCTGTTCGTGACTTATTAAAGTTCCACGGGAATCGGTTGTCAATTTTCTGACTTTTCCAAAACCGGTAACCGATGCTGCAAAAGGTTACCGGTTACCGCGTATTAACGGTAGTAGGTGGCAGCCTCCACACCACGTGCGCCACGCAGACACAATACAGCCCGGATGCTCAGAGGAAATACGAATCAAGTAATGGGCGCTACTCAGGGTGGGATTGGACAATGATTTCCCGAAGTTTGAATTGGAGAATTAGGGGCATTTTAATAAATTGAGAAAGTATTAACCATCACGGATGTTCGTATTACATTGTTCGAGTTGCATTTGCGGCAACAATCGACAGGACATGATTGCAAAATGCAACAAAGGAAGCAAAGATGGGCTCAAGATTAAGTGTCATCCGAAACAGAAAATAACTCGCACGAGGCGAGCTCTCTGAGAAACAATGTGGAATGTTTGTTTGGAGAGATAAAGTGGAAAAAAAAACACGAGTGGGTCAAAGTAAATGGTTGAACAATACACCTTCACGGATCCGTCCCCCGCCACATACAGCATTAATGTTATTTGTACATCTCGCATAAAGTACGTATATTGTCATTCGTATAATGCTCTTCTGACCCAGAAAAGCCTCAATGAGTCTAATGACTTTTTCTTTCAGGACGTTGCGGCCAAGCGTTTGCTTTGCATAATCTCGATTGAGTAATTTAGAGTGTCATTTTATTTAGAAAATGTGGACCATGACGCTGACACTCCAGCTGGTATGTGTGTCACTCCTGTTGATGTGTGTCACTCCTGTTGGTGTGTGTGTCACTCCTGTTGGTGTGTGTGTGTCACTCCTGTTGGTGTGTGTGTCACTCCTGTTGGTGTGTGTGTCACTCCTGTTGGTGTGTGTTACTCTTGTTGGTGTGTGTGTCACTCCTGTTGGTGTGTGTGTCACTCCTGTTGGTGTGTCACTCCTATTGGTGTGTGTGTCACTCTTGTTGGTGTGTGTGTGTCACTCCTGTTGGTGTGTGTGTCACTCCTGTTGGTGTGTGTCACTCCTGTTGGTGTGTGTCACTCTTGTTGGTGTGTGTGTCACTCCTGTTGGTGTGTGTGTCACTCCTGTTGGTGTGTGTGTCACTCCTGTTGGTGTGTGTGTCACTCCTGTTGGTGTGTGTGTCACTCTTGTTGGTGTGTGTGTCACTCTTGTTGGTGTGTGTGTCACTCCTGTAGGTGTGTGTGTCACTCCTGTTGGTGTGTGTGTCACTCCTGTTGGTGTGTGTGTCACTCCTGTTGGTGTGTGTGTGTCACTCCTGTTGGTGTGTCACTCCTGTTGGTGTGTGTGTCACTCCTGTTGGTGTGTCACTCCTGTTGGTGTGTCACTCCTGTTGGTGTGTGTGTGTCACTCCTGTTGGTGTGTCACTCCTGTTGGTGTGTGTCACTCCTGTTGGTGTGTGTGTCACTCCTGTTGGTGTGTCACTCCTGTTGGTGTGTCACTGCTGTTGGTGTGTGTGTGTCACTCCTGTTGGTGTGTCACTCCTGTTGGTGTGTCACTCCTGTTGGTGTGTGTGTGTCACTGCTTTTGGTGTGTCACTCCTAATGGTGTGTGTGTCACTCCTGTTGGTGTGTCACTGCTGTTGGTGTGTCACTCCTGTTGGTGTGCGTGTCACTCCTGTTGGTGTGTGTGTCACTCCTGTTGGTGTGTGTGTGTCACTGCTGTTGGTGTGTCACTCCTGTTGGTGTGTGTGTCACTCCTGTTGGTATGTGTGTGTCACTCCTGTTGGTGTGTCACTCCTGTTGGTGTGTCACTCCTGTTGGTGTGTGTGTCACTCCTGTTGGTGTGTGTGTGTCACTCCTGTTGGTGTGTCACTTCTGTTGGTGTGTGTGTCACTCCTGTTGGTGTATCACTCCTGTTGGTGTGTGTCACTCCTGTTGGTGTGTCACTCCTGTTGGTGTGTCACTCCTGTTGGTGTGTGTGTCACTGCTGTTGGTGTGTCACTCCTGTTGGTGTGTGTGTCACTCCTGTTGGTGTATCACTCCTGTTGGTGTGTGTCACTCCTGTTGGTGTGTCACTCCTGTTGGTGGGTGTGTGTCACTCCTATTGGTGTGTGTGTCACTGCTGTTGGTGTGTGTGTCACTGCTGTTGGTGTGTGTGTCACTCCTGTTGGTGTGTCACTCCTATTGGTGTGTGTGTCACTGCTGTTGGTGTGTGTGTCACTGCTGTTGGTGTGTGTGTTACTCCTGTTGGTGTGTCACTGCTGTTGGTGTGTGTGTCACTGCTGTTGGTGTGTGTGTGTCACTCCTATTGGTGTGTGTGTCACTGCTGTTGGTGTGTGTGTCACTGCTGTTGGTGTGTGTGTCACTCCTATTGGTGTGTTACTCCTGTTGGTGTGTGTGTCACTCCTGTTGGTGTGTGTGTCACCCCTATTGGTGTGTGTGTCACTCCTGTTGGTGTGTCACTCCTGTTAGTGTGTGTGTCACTCCTGTTGGTGTGTGTGTCACTCCTGTTGGTGTGTGTGTGTCACTCCTGTTGGTGTGTGTGTGTCACTGCTGTTGGTGTGTCACTCCTGTTGGTGGGTGTGTGTCACTCCTATTGGTGTGTGTGTGTCACTCCTGTTGGTGTGTGTGTCACTGCTGTTGGTGTGTGTGTCACTGCTGTTGGTGTGTTTGTGTCACTGCTGTTGGTGTGTGTGTGTTACTCCTGTTGGTGTGTCACTCCTATTGGTGTGTGTCACTCCTGTTAGTGTGTGTCACTCCTGTTGGTGTGTCACTCCTGTTGGTGTGTGTGTGTCACTCCTGTTGGTGTGTCACTGCTGTTGGTGTGTGTGTCACTGCTGTTGGTGTGTGTGTCACTGCTGTTGGTGTGTGTGTGTGTAACTGCTGTTGGTGTGTGTGTCACTCCTGTTGGTGTGTCACTCCTGTTGGTGTGTGTGTGTCACTCCTGTTGGTGTGTGTGTCACTCCTGTTGGTGTGTCACTGCTGTTGGTGTGTGTGTGTCACTGCTGTTGGTGTGTGTGTCACTCCTGTTGGTGTGTCACTCCTGTTGGTGTGTCACTCCTGTTGGTGTGTGTGTCACTGCTGTTGGTGTGTGTGTGTCACTCCTGTTGGTGTGTGTGTCACTGCTGTTGGTGTGTGTGTCACTGCTGTTGGTGTGTGTGTCACTGCTGTTGGCGTGTGTGTCACTGCTGTTGGTGTGTGTGTCACTGCTGTTGGTGTGTGTGTCACTGCTGTTGGTGTGTGTGTCACTCCTGTTGGTGTGTGTGTCACTGCTGTTGGTGTGTGTGTGTCACTTCTGTTGGTGTGTGTGTCACTCCTGTTAGTGTGTGTGTCACTGCTGTTGGTGTGTGTGTCACTGCTGTTGGTGTGTCACTCCTGTTGGTGTGTGTGTCACTGCTGTTGGTGTGTGTGTCACTCCTGTTGGTGTGTGTGTGTCACTGCTGTTGGTGTGTGTGTGTCACTCCTGTTGGTGTGTGTGTGTCACTGCTGTTGGTGTGTGTGTGTCACTCCTGTTGGTGTGTGTGTGTCACTGCTGTTGGTGTGTGTGTCACTGCTGTTGGTGTGTGTGTGCACGTTGTGCGGTCTGTGCGCAGCGCTGCTCCGTGCTCCGTGAGCTCGTGCGCTGCGGCGGCCCGGCCCAAGCGCAGCTGCTGTGGACCGCGCTCCAACCCGCGCTGCACCGCGACTTCATGTACACGGGTGGGTGTCCCCTACAGCCACTCCCCTACAGCCACTCCATGTACACGGGTGGGTGTCCCCTACAGCCACTCCCCTACCCCTACAGCCACTCCCCTAGCCCTACAGCCACTCCATGTACACGGGTGGGTGTCCCCTACAGCCACTCCCCTACAGCCACTCCATGTACACGGGTGGGTGTCCTCTACAGCCACTCCCCTACCCCTACAGCCACTCCATGTACACGGGTGGGTGTCCTCTACAGCCACTCCCCTACAGCCACTCCCCTTCCCCTACAGCCACTCCCCTACCCCTACAGCCACTCTATCTACACCGATGGGTGTCCCCTACAGCCACTCCCCTACAGCCACTCCATGTACACGGGTGGGTGTCTCCTACAGCCACTCTATCTACACCGATGGGTGTCCCCTACAACCACTCCCCTACAGCCACTCCCCTTCCCCTACAGCCACTCCCCTACCCCTACAGCCACTCCCCTTCCCCTACAGCCACTCCATGTACACCGGTGGGTGTCCCCTACAGCCACTCCCCTTCCCCTACAGCCACTCCCCTACCCCTACAGCCACTCGTCACGGGGCTCCCATAGTGTGACGATCGAGGGCAGTGAGCCGGCTCTGCGGAGAACCTGGCTTCCAGCCGAGGTTTTTCTTTTTTTAGTCACCCAACCGTGATTAAGCCGCGTTCTCGAATGTATGAGTTGTTGGTCTCAGCCCGGTTACCAGTGACTTACACAGAGACCCATAGACTCACATAGAGATCCATAGCCTCTGGCTTCCGATTGCCGGACATTGTAAGGTCGCGCTCATTACACACAAAGTGTTTTCCGCAAATTAACCACACACAATACCTTTGTTGATCTCGTCAAGAAGCATAAACCATCACGCAAACTCCGGTCATCCTCGCAGCAGCGGCTTATTGCTAGCCATCAAACAGACGCTCAATGCATCGAGCGCTTTCAGATGCGCTTCTGCGGCCGCCTGGAACGCTCTTCCCTCTGATATTAGGAAGTCACTGGAGGTATGCATTTTAAAATCTAGATTGAAAAGTCATTTCCTTAGAACTGTTTTTTTGTGTGTTTAGTTTGTTGTTGTCTTTCCCCGGCACCTTCAATTCAATTGGTTGGCTAGGCACCGTGCGAAAGAAGTCCAACATACAGTACCTACATTAAGGCGGATTCTCAAATGTAGTCAGTTGATGGTCTCAATCTGGTTACCAACGACTTAGATGGAGACTCATAGGCTCACACAGATATCCACAGGCTATGACAAAGACCAATAGACTAATATGGCCTGAGCTGTGATTACACTTGGTTCTCATCTGTAGCGAGCTGATGATCTCAGCCCAGGCCACCGATGAATGCACGGTATTGCACTGAATTGAACAAAATTCCAGTGCTGGGAATAGTCATGCATTTTTGGTTTAATAGTATTGCAATGCATGGTATTCTTCCAACAGTAAACGCACTGCCTGGCATTGCAGATGGTACACGTCCTTAGTTACAGAGCCGATTGTTGGAATTCCACCGGATTGTACGTTCTTTATGTTTAATCCTTGTGTGAGTGAACAAGTGGCCTTGGTGTGAGTGAACAAGTGGCCACGGGAGGTAATGACAGGGGAGTCCGCCTGCAGTGCGAATGCACTAGTGGCCACGGGAGATAATGACAGGGGAGTCAGCCCGCAGTGCGAATGGACTAGTGGCCATGGGAGGTAATGACAGGGGTATCAGTTGTGAGTGCGAAGGGACTGGTGACTACGGGAATGATCGAGAAGGGAGCGCGGTCAGGTGACGGAAGAGGGCGGTGGAGTCTGCCGGTGGAGCGAGCGTCCAGAGTCAGCGAGAAGGTTCGGGAAGGGGAGAGGCGTGGCCTCGGTCGGTATATAAAGGGGATATGCGCGGGAGACTCGGGGCTGTTGCAGTGGGGGTCTCCTGCCTGTATCAAGTGAACGTGTCTTCAATAAAGTGCCATCTCAAGAGAAGTGTGTCAAGTGGTCGTTACACTTGAAACAGAAATTCAGCCAAAATGAAGTGCAACGCCGAATGCATCCTGGTGTCTTCCTCTCTACGGGGTCACTAGTCACTGGGTTGACACCATCCTTGTCAACAATTCGCTTGAGACCCCTCCCCTCCCACCCACTCAGGTTTAATCGCGGGCGGCCAGAACCCGGATTAGAAGCCGGGCTCTCGGCCGTGCCGGCTCAGCGCCCTAACCCGGCATTAATCTCCTGAGTCGCCCGGGCCCACCTAATTCATGTTTTTGTTTGTTGTCGATGGAGGTGCAATTTAAGCTGTGCTCTCAAATACATTACAATAGAGGATGATCCATTTATAGAGACGCCCCTTTCCGTCTTCCCAACCAGCTGATGTTGTCGAGAAGCGATGGTTCGACATCTCACCGGGGGATACATTTTTCAAGATTGTGCGTTGCGATTGCCGTTCTCTTATAAAAGTGCTGCGCTTTTACCTTCCACATAGTAGAGAGCATAAGTGCGTATGCCTGTCAAGACATCCGCGTGTCCGTGTTATCCGCGTGTGGAGGTGGCAAAGTGGCTAGCCCAGGGGCTCCGGAGCCGCATGCGGTGGCTCTTTAAGGACCGCTTCGTGATATTTATTTGATAAGGAGCCACCACCGTCTCATATTCACCACAATGCATTGCGGCTCATGATATATAGAGGGTTTTTTTTAAATATACCGAATTTGAAAAAAAAAATTGCTCTGGACGCTCGCTCCGTACAGAATCGATGACTCTGGACGCATGCTCCGTACAGAATCTCAATAACCTCGGGCAAGTCCATCTGAAATTCCACGCGCTTATACGGCGACAACTTAGCACTCAGGTCAGCTGCCTGATATTTCCAAAAAATGTCTCTTCTTGTTATTTTGGTTTCCGACGCCTGGGCTAGCCGTGTTGCTCTGTGAATCTGGCGACCCGAGTTCGATTCCCGGCCACGGCTAACAGCAGTGGTGAGTGATATCTGAACGGGTGCTGGATGCCCGCCATCACCAACACGCAACTGACCAGCGTGGTGAAGTATGGTCAAACAACCCCCGTGGCCAACACGGCGTGGGGAAGCCTCTATCGAGCAGTGGATAAAATCACGTTATAACAATGTCTAAATATTGCATTGATTACATACATACATACATGTGTGTGCGCAGAAGGAAACATACTTTACACCCACCTTTATTAATCCAGTATCGTAACGAATCAAAAGGCCTTCCCCTTCTGTCACCATCACTTTACCAAACTGTTATCAGTGTGGTGAAGTGAAGCAAGGTGCCCAGACACAAGTTCAGACATCAAACGCCCTTGACACTACTATTAAACTTCTTTGGTTCTTTCGGTAAAGTCACATAGAATGAGAATAAAATAAAATAATATTTAAGTTGAATCCTTGCAGTCACGAAAGCTTTAAATCGAAATTTACTATTAAACTATTGTTTTATTTTGCCAGGTAAGGCGCACTGAGGTATATAGCGCTTTTTCAGAAGCGACCTGGCCACAAATGATACCTCAACAAAGTGGCTTATCACGTGGACATTTATTGCAGCCAAATACTCTGAACGCACCATTCTAAATGTGGAGGGGAAAACCGGAGGACCCGGAGAGAAAAAAAAATATCCACGCGACCACGGGGACAGAGACACGCGAACTCCAAATATACAGCAGGCGTCAGGGTCGCGATCGAACCCACGACCTCACGCATACCGGGCGAGGGAGTTAACATCTCCTAGCCACCGTGATGATGATGAGAGAGAGACACGCAAACCACAAATATACAGCAGGCGTCAGGGTCGCGATCGAACCCACGACCTCCTGCATACCGGGCGAGGGAGTTAACATCTCCTAGCCACCGTGATGATGATGAGAGAGAGACACGCAAACCCCAAATATACAGCAGGCGTCAGGGTCGCGATCGAACCCACGACCTCCTGCATACCTGGCGAGGGAGTTAACATCTCGACACCGTGGCGCACCCCATTCCCGGTCAGGAATCAAACCCTGTCCCGTATTCGACGCACCCGCGTCCTCACGCGCACGTCGAAGCAAAGTTTTTCGGGGGACTCCGCTGCGCACACCCGCACCGACCCACAGCAATCGCAGTAATTGGTTTCATTCATTTGTCAGATTCGCTCTTTACAACAACGACAACAACAAAAGCAGCGAGGCCCCGCGTGAGCGCGGCGAGAATCAACAAGAGGAGGAGGAGTGGGGGGGGGAGGGCTTCGCCGACGAACGCTCTCTGCGCGCGCGAACGGCACTCTCGATGCTCATCTCTCGTCACCGGCGGTGACCGCCTCCGTTGATTGAGGGAGCGCAGGGCGGCTGGCTTCCCGCGCCTCGTCGTCGACGTGCGGTTTCCGTCAAAATCCAAAGCGAACGGCACGCGCGTGTGCGTGCGTGCGCGTGCGTGCATGCGTGTGCGTACATGCGTGTGCGTGCGTGCAGAAATTCAGTCGAATAGAAACAATGTTTTACTCCCCCCCCCTCACCCCAAATTCGGGAAGTGTTTTTCCCCCGTCCGGATGAGGTTGGTTGAACGTGACGCGCGCTGCTTACGTTTTGTAACGGAATTCGTTTACGAGACCTTGCTCCAGTGGTTCTTCTTAACCCGGGGTGCACGCTCCTCCTGCGGCTGCGAGATGCCCTTTCTGGGGGTGACGTAAATGATCCAAACACAAATTAAACACGGGCGCGTGTACAACTTTCCTGATGACGACCGCTTGTGTCGCGATCGAAACGTCGTAGTTTTTTTGTTATTTTCTTTGATCCTATCTACGTGACTTTACCGAGAGACCCAAAGAATATTATACGTTTTTTTTTTTACGATCGAGAACCAAGGGGGTGCAAGGCTTCGGCGAAGGTTCAGAATCACTGCCTTAGACGGAAGGCCGGTTGCATCAGAAGACCGTGAGAGATGATGGGCGGCCTGGTGAGGCCTTCATCCAGCAGTGGATAGATCATTGCTGCTGATGGTGATGATGATGCTGATGTCGATGTGCCAATGAAAAACTATTAATCTACCAACAGTTATATTTCGTTTTAAAGCTTTTGTGACTGCAGGGATTCATATTCTTGGTTCTTTCGGTAAAGTCACGTAGAAGGGAAACAATGAAATAATACAAATAAAACAATAACATTCTCACGGCGTTTCGATTGCAACACAAGCAATCGAAACGTCGTGAGAATTTTATTGTTAAACTTTTATTATTTTATTATTTCCCTTCTACGTGACTTTACCGAAAGAACTACCAACAGTTATCCAAATGTTATCAATTTATAATCACAATAGTTTTATTACAGGCCTTTATAAATGTACTTAGAAAATGTTTTTATACTGGAGGAATCCGATGAGCTATAAAGCTATTTTTAACCGATGTCCTGTAGGGGCAGGTCAGAACATTACGACAACAAACGATACAAAACACGATAGGAGTGCAACGTATAGCAAAAGTAAACAAATCACTTTAAAATATACAAGTAAAACGGCTTAGCAATCATTGAGAGGATGTGATAAGCCATTTAGGGTCTTGATTGATTGTTCACGCTTACGGTGACTTTCAGACCGCATTCAATTCTCCTTCTCTCCCCACTCCTCCGTTCCGAGGATGGCTGGACTCGTCCGTCTGAACAACCGCTAGTCGCTGTCCGTGGTGCTAACGTTAAAAAAAACCCGCCACTTTTTTCAAATTTTCTTGCTGTGGTTTTCACACCTGATGATAATTGCTTGTGTTGCAATCGAAACGTCGTGAGTGTTTGTGCGTGTATTATTTAATTATTTCCCTTCTACGTGACTTTACCGAAAGAACCAAGAATAAGTAAAATTACACTTTTTATCTTACCAGGTAAAGCGCACTGAGGTATTAACTTATTTTTAAGAAGCGACCTGGCCACAAATGATACCCCAACAAAATGGCCCATCACGTGGCTATTTATTGCAGCAAAATTATCTAAATAATGTCAATGCTGCTGCATTTTTTTTCCGAAATAACGAAACCGGAGGAGGAATGTTGAAAAAGCAAGCAAAGCTTTCCACACGTTTGGACGACATTTCGCCGGATATCCACATACGCCATCGTCAGGCGTCAACAAAGCTCGGCTCTTACGTGGTCGAGCGATTGCCGAGGGCTGATCGGTTTGGCCGCATTGTGCCGCGCGGTGAATGGACTCTGACTCATGGAGTCTCCTTATGCGTGTGTGTGTCGTATTGTATCACGGGGAGCGGTGGTGTAGCGGTTAGCACGCGGCGCTGCGGACGAACCTGGCAACCCTAGTTCGATTCTCACTCACGGCCAACACCAGTGACGATTTTACGTGAGCTGACCCAGGCCTCCCCTAGGTCGACTCAGCCTAAAGTGAGTACCTGGTGCGGTGCGTAAACATCGCCACTATGGATACAAAGGCGGCCGGGCGTGGTGCCGGCCACACCCACCCCCTCGTGTGCCGTGCCGACCATCATAGGTGCTCCTCGCCAACAGCACTTGCCCAACCAGTCTGTCAAGGCTACACGGTGGATCTTTGCCTTTGTTGCCTTGCGTCTCTTATTCTTTGATTCAGGGCAAAGGGCTTTCCCCGGCTTCTCCTTTGCTCCGGTCAGCACGGAGTGGACGCGCAAAGCCAGGGGCAGGGTGGGACGTGGCTGCCCGGGCGGTGCCCCGTGGGTTTACCGCGAGCCCAGCGTCATCCTCGCGGAGCGCGGAGAGCGCGGAGTGACGGCGCCACCTGCCGCCCAGGGGCCGACATACCCGCACAGGTGATGCCGGAATTCACAATGCAGCGGGGATGTAGAATCTCTCTCGCACGCTCTCTCAAACGGCGGCCAACAACAGTGGCATTCGACAAACAAACGTGTGTTGCATAATAGGCGATGGCCCTTGGTGACCTCCCTGGCATCTCTCAATCAATCAATTCCGCACCTCCGATTAGCACGGTTGGCTACGTACGGAGCGAAAGAAGTTCAACATATATAATACCACAGTACAATCAATCTTTATTGTATGTGCCAATATAGCCTGCAATAAAGTAGGCATCGGTGCACATTGTAGCAGGGGGCATACGAAACCCGTCACGACCTCAGCAGTGAACACAGATAATGTGCCGTTGAGAAGGGCCCTTGCCCCGAAACGTTGTTTGATGCATTCTTTTTTAAATTCTTATTCTTAATCATCTTTTTAAGGCAGTGCTAATTGAGGCTCCACGTGTTATTGACGGGTGTGTTGAGTTTGTGATATTTGTGTTCGTGCACCAATGTCATTTTGCAGCAGCAACAGCACCATTAAGTTGGTTCCTTATTAATACAGGTAGTCTTCAACTTACGAACACTCGAATTTACGAACACCCGACTTATCAACACTCGCACCTACGAACACCCGATTTACGAACACCCGCACTTACGAACCAGCTTCCGTGAAATATGATATTCTTAACAATGACGTAAAACGCGAACTCGCACTTGCAAACTGAATCGCGGAACTATTTTGTTCAGCGGAGGGATCCTCCGCGAGATGTCGGGAGTCGGCCTAGCGCTGGGAGTAGGTAAGTAAGTGTGTCCGTGCGTTCATTTGTAGCGGCATGCAAGTGCATCATTTACACGCACGCTGTCTTCATCATCACGAGCCATAGCCGAGGATATCACAATTGACGTTGGCCTCGGTCAGGAAAATGAATTCAGGTGGGCAGTGTCGGAGCGCAGTGCACTCACCACTCCACCACCGCTCCACCCCCAATCTAATCATAAAGAAGCGGTGAAGGTTAAAGGCTCAATCCTGAAATGTCCTGCTCAATTCACTGCGGCAAGTAGGGCCTCCACTTCGAGGCTTTTCTAGAGATTCCCCTATCGAGGGTATTTGGCCTACTCTTCCACGCAAGTCAAACGTCTTGGAAGGAGACACTACGACGGCGTCCCTGGCTAATCGCAACAACAACAACAACATCACAATCATGACTGAGGAACGGTGTTGGCTCATACAGTGAGGAAAAAAAGTATTTGATCCCCTGCTGATTTTGTACGTTTGCCCACTGACAAATAAATTATCAGTCTATAATTGTAATGGTAGGTTTATTTGAACAGTGAGAGACAGGATAACAACAACAAAATCCAGAAAACGCATGTCAAAAATGTTATAAATTGATTTGCATTTTAATGAGGGAAATAAGTATTTGACCCCTCTGCAAAACATGACTTAGTACTTGGTGGCAAAACCCTTGTTGGCAATCACAGAGGTCAGACGTTTCTTGTAGTTGGCCACTAGGTTTGCACACATCTCAGGAGGGATTTTGTCCCACTCCTCTTTGCAGACCTTCTCCAAGTCATTAAGGTTTCGAGGCTGACGTTTGGCAACTCGAACCTTCAGCTCCCTCCACAGATTTTCTATGGGATTAAGGTCTGGAGACTGGCTAGGCCACTCCAGGACCTTAATGTGCTTCTTCTTGAGCCACTCCTTTATTGCCTTGGCCGTGTGTTTTGGGTCATTGTCATGCTGGAATACCCATCCACGACCCATTTTCAATGCCCTGGCTGAGGGAAGGTTCTCACCCAAGATTTTACGGTACATGGCCCAGTCCATCGTCCATTTGATGCGGTGAAGTTGTCCTGTCCCCTTAGCAGAAAAAACACCCCCAAAGCATAATGTTTCTACCTCGATGTTTGACGGTGGGGATGGTGTTCTTGGGGTCATAGGCAGCATTCCTCCTCCTCCAAACACGGCGAGTTGAGTTGATGCCAAAGAGCTCCATTTTGGTCTCATCTGACCACAACACTTTCACCCAGTTGTCCTCTGAATCATTCAGATGTTCATTGGCAAACTTCATACGGACATGTATATGTGCTTTCTTGAGCAGGGGGACCTTGCGGGCGCTGCAGGATTTCAGTCCTTCACGGCGTGGTGTGTTACCAATTGTTTTCTTGGTGACTATGGTCCCAGCTGCCTTGAGATCATTGACAAGATCCTCCCGTGTAGTTCTGGGCTGATTCCTCACCGTTCTCATGATCATTGCAACTCCACGAGGTGAGATCTTGCATGGAGCCCCAGGCCGAGGGAGATTGACAGTTCTTTTGTGTTTCTTCCATTTGCGAATAATCGCACCAACTCTTGTCACCTTCTCACCAAGCTGCTTGGCAATTGTCTTGTAGCCCATTCCAGCCTTGTGTAGGTCTACAATCTTGTCCCTGACATCCTTGGAGAGCTCTTTGGTCTTGGCCATGGTGGAGAGTTTGGAATCTGATCGATTGATTGCTTCTGTGGACAGGTGCTTTTTATACAGGTAACAAGCTGAGATTAGGAGCACTCCCTTTAAGAGTGTGCTCCTAATCTCAGCTCGTTACCTGTATAAAAGACACCTGGGAGCCAAAAATCAAATAAATGTATAACATTTTTGACATGCGTTTTTCTGGATTTTGCTGTTGTTATCCTGTCTCTCACTATTCAAATAAACCTACCATTAATATTATAGACTGATAATTTCTCTGTCAGTGGGCAAACGTACAAAATGAGCAGGGGATCAAATACTTTTTTTCCCTCACTGTAAGACGATGGGCATTCCGGACAGCCCACTACTGCAGTTGCGTTTGACCTTGCTGGGGGTGGGTCGGCAGCGGGGGAGGGCATGGAGGGGGGAGGCGCCTGTGTATATATAAACAAATCAGTGTGGGCACAACGGAGTCAATGTTAAGTAACTTTAATCAGATTATGAACGCCGATCAAGAATGCGTGACGACGCTATGATTTGATTTGCCTCTGAGCGCTCACCCCATATGTACGTGTGTTGAACTTCTTTCGCACCATACGCAACCAACGGCGCTAATCAGAGGTGCGGGTCGAAGGAAAGCAAACTAAATACGAAATCCAGTGCTACAGAAATCATCGTACGCACAATTTTTCACCTGACTATAAGAATTGATCAGGGGGAGGTTGCACAGGGGGAAGGGCTGCCATCCCTCTGCCCCCCCCCAATCTCGTAGACACCACGGGGGTGCCTGCGTCCCACGTGTCGCAGCGGGCAGCCTCCCCACTGCGAGTGTTTCTTTGACGACGCGCGGCATTGTGAGATAGCGGCACTGTAAAATATTCCGACCAAAAAAAACGACGGAACAAAACGCCGAGGAGTTGCGCGGAGAAGGGTGGGAGAGAGGGTTACGTGCTTGGAATTGTTACAACGGAGGGACGAAGGGACAGGAGGGGGGCGGGGACACGTGGGATCTGAGAACCAGCGCGGGTCATAGACAGCGCCGCGTTGGGCTGCTCGGAGAACATCAGAGAGGGGGCTTTGGGCAGAGCGCGTGGCGGGGTGGAAGGGACGACAGCGGTCGGACGAGACGGAGCGACGGAGTGAACCAAAGAGGCGAGATGTTAACTACCTCGCCTGGTATGCAGGAGGTCGTTGGGTCAATCCCGACCCTCGACGCCTGTATATTTGGAGTTCGCGTGTTCTTCCAGTGGTAAAATGTTTACTACCTCGCCTGGTATGCAGAAGGTCATGGGTTCGATTCCAAACCCCGACGCCTGTATATTTGGAGTTTGCATGTTCTTCCAGTTTTGAGATATTAACTACCTCGCCTGGTATACAGGAGGTCGTGGAGGCGATCCCGACCCCGACGCCTGTATATTTGGAGGTTGCGTGTCTCTCTCTCCCTGTGGTCGCGCGGATTTTCCTCTGAGTCCGCTTTTTTCCCTCCACATTTAGAAACGTGCGTTTAGAGTATCTGGCAGCTATACATTTCCACGTGATGATAATCCACTATCGTTCAGCTATCATTTGTGGCCAGGTCACTTCTGAAAAAGAGCCATATAGCTCAGTGGGCCTTTAGTTTGTTGTCTTCCCCGACACCTTCAATTTGCGTGGTAGGCTACGTACGGTGCGAAAGAAGCTCAATATGCGTGCATACATACCTGGTAAAATGTATATTAAAAAAAAAACCTTTATAGTTTGATTACTTATCGCGAGCCGCTCGCTCAAAATCACCGCTGCGCCGGACTTTGGAAAAATGAGTCCTAAACCCCCCCCCCCCCCAAAAAAAAAAATCCGCAAGCCGTCCGTCTCTTCCGTTCGATGCGGGCGGTCGGCCCAGGTTGTGGGTGGGTGGGGGGGTCGGCTCCGCACGCCACTCAGCGGGCGCCGAGTCTCCGTTCACAGCGCGCGTCCTGCTGACGGAGGAGATCTGCTGCCAACTCCTGCCCGCCGAGCCCGCCCCCCACCCCCACAACTGTCAATCACTGCCCGATTAATGCACGGCAGCATAGGTAAAGCCGCAGCTCCTGCAATCGTTTTTTCGCGATAATATTTGGAGTTTGTGTGGTCTCTCTCTTTTTCTCTCTCTCCCCGTGGTCGCGTGGATTTTTCTCAGGGCCCTCTGGTTTACACCCCCCCCTCCCCTCCATATTTATAATTAACATCACGCGTTTAAATTATCTGGCAACTGCTGTCAATTTCCACGCGACGATGATAAAAGCCACTTGGTTGAGCTTATCATTTTGTGACCGCCACGGCCGCTTCTGAAGAAAACAAGTAGAGCTACATAGCTCAATAGCGCGCCTTAACCAGGTAATATAACAATAGCTTAGTAGCTTAGTTTGTAATACGCCACTGCCCGCGGAATGACCTCCACGAGAAGGAGCTAAAGAGGATCTCTTCTCAGAGGGCTGTTTGGGTTTCGTTGGTTTTTGTTTTATTGGATTGCTTTTCCACGAAGATCGACTAAAGCGCGCGCGTGCACGTTCGTACGTGGTCACATTTCGAGTGCACATCGCGCGTTTAGAGTATTTGTATGCTGCTATAAAATGTCCACACGATAAGCCCTCACTTCGTTGAGCTGTCATCTGTGGCCAGGTCGCTTCTGAAAAAGAGCCGCATAGCTCAGGGGGTAATAAATAAAATAAAAATATACCGCAACTGGGGGGGGGGGGATGAGTTTAAGACGCGTTGCCCCCCCCCCCTCCCTCCATCGTTTCAAATGCCGGGCCGGGAGATGAGAGTTGAACTGGCGACCTCTGGATTGCCGGTGCAGTCGTGCTGCTGCTGCTGCTGTTGTTGTTGCTAAGCACAGAAGCGCTGTAGACTGTAGCAGCTTTAACCGTCGTATTAATGTGCAACGCAGATGAGTCCCTAGGCAATGATTACATAACATAGCGGGGTGATTGTTGTTGTTGTTGTCGTTGTTGTCGTTGTCGTTGTTGTTGTTGTTCTCGTACAGAACAATTGCCGAGCAAGCTTAGACGCTAATTTACGATCCGCGAGCCATTTGTTTGCTTCATGGACGATGAAGCAGTTAGGTCCATTCCGATTTAATCTGTTTGTTCTTTCAAGCTACATTGATCTCTGGCCCTCACAAACATAGACTAAGATCCCCCGTGTAGCCTTAACAGACTGTTGGGGCAAGTGCTGTTAACGAGCAGCTATGAAGGACGGCACGGCTAAATTTTTGTTAGGCTGAGTCGACCTAGGTAGGAGAGGCCCAGGACCGGTTCAAATATTCGCCACTGTTATCGGTCGTGAACGGGAATCGAACTCGGGTCGCCGGGTTTGCAGCGCAGCGCGCCTACCGCTGCCCACACGCGTCTGTTCCACGCGGCAGTACGAACGGGCCCGCCACGGCATCGGAAGGTTTAACACGTGCGGCGGGGGTAAAGTGTGGGTAGTCCCACCTCCTAAAGGACCATACTTAAAATAACCCCTCCACGGACCCACGTCGGCGAACGTGTGGGAACAACAGAGCCGGGAGCAGAGCTCGTGCGGTACAATTCGAGGATTTTGCTGAGCTGCCCTCCGCTGCCCTCGTAGCCTCGCGGCAGCGCTGCAGCGACGAACGTGCGCGTGGCGGTCGCCCACCCAAGCGCTGATACAGGCCCCCCCCCCCCCCCCCAAAAAAAAAAAAAACCTGTTTAGCTTTCGGGATCTGACGAGATCGGGCGCATTCCGGGGCGATTTGGTCAAGGCGCTATTTGTATATCAGGGTGCACGGTTCAAGATGTGCTTTCGGTCTTTCCTTCCACTGCAGAGATGTCGACTGGCAGCGGGCAGCTGCAGGTGCTGCTGCTGCTGCTGCTGGGACTACGACACGAGGCGACGAGAAGGGGCCGAGCTTGAGGAGGACAGGGGGCCTCGTCCTGCCGGCGCTGCACACGCGCACGGTGAGGGGGCAGTCGACTCACGCCTCACTGTCTCTGCTATGCTGAGCGATCGGCGGTGGCTAGGAGATGTTAACCCCCTCGTCTGGTATGCAGGAGGTCGTGGGTTCGAGCCCGACTGTGACGCCTGCTGTATATTTGAAGTTTGCGTGTCTCTCTCCCCGCTGTCACGTGGATTTTTATCCGGGTCTTCCTCCGGGTTTTCCCTCCACAGTTAGAATCAACATGCGTTTCGAGAGGTTGGCTGCTATACATTTCCACTTAAGTCACTTCGTTGAGATATCATTTGTGGCCAGGTGGTTTCTGAAAAAGAGCTCTATCGCTTAGTGGCCCTAACCTGGTAAAATAAATTAGTTATTTTTTTACGAATCCTGGTTTGCTTGCTTGGGTCTTGGGGCAAGGACATTAATTAGGGCCTCTTGTTTCCAGTTTCCCCTCAACGCCGGCACAGCCGACAGTGACTAAACCGCGTTCTCAAATGTAATGATTTGACGGTCTTAGCCGCGGTTACCGGTGACTTGACTGCAGATAAAAAACAAAGAAACAATAAAAGAGATATAGGTTCGTTACTTAATTTGGCTAAATGCCAACTCTGCGAATTAATGAAATTGAGTTGCCATCGCCGCGAGCGTGGCTTTCATCTTTAATTTTCCATTCGCGTTAGGAGACTCGCGCGTCGGCCTGCTTATATGCAATTAGGCTTATCAAGGCCAGAGGGTGCAAAAACAGAAGGCTCGCATGTCACACTCTGGCGATGATTAGGTAAGCGTGCAGCGTGCGTTACGAACGCGTCCGCGCACACGTGTACGCGCACGTGCGCGTTAGCCAGCGCGCAATGGCGGGGGGTCAGCGCGCACGGGGAGGTAATAATGAAGAACTCGTCGTGAATGGAATCTCGTCATTTTAATATTGCCGATTTCGCAAACGCCTGGGGATCCGCGTGCGGCGTTGCGTGTCGCCGCACTCGTTACGGAAACTGCGCGGTCGCCTCTCCGTGCGCGCGCGGCGGTAGTGAGCCCATACGACGTGGGGGCCATCTCCGTGGGGATGTCCACGTGGAGTTGAATGCCGCGTCGACGACACTTCACCTCTTTGCGTCGGCGGCAAGCGGCGTCGGCCGCGCTGGTAATGCACGCGTCCCGCAGCAAAGAGGACCTGGGCTCGATTCCCGGCTCGGGGCGCCTTTCCATGTTGAACTTGTACGTTGCGAAAGAAGTTCCGACTTACGGTGCATACATGTATGTTGAACTTGTATGTTGAACTTCTTTCGCACCCTACGTAGCTAATTGTGCTAATCGGAGTTTCGGGGGAAGAACAACAAACTAAACACAAAAAAGCAGTTCTAAAGAAATTAGTTTTCATTCGAGATTATTTAAAAAGCGCATAGCTCCAGTGGCTTCGTAATATCGGAAGGAAGAGCGTTCCAGACGGCCGCAGAAACGCATCCGAAAGCGCCACGCGATGCAGTGACCGCAGTCTGTGTTCGATGGTTAGCGGTCAAAGCCGCTGCTGCAAGGATGACGACCGGAGTTCACGTGGTGGTGGTTTACGCTTCTCGACGAGTTCACCAACCGTGAGACACAGAGAGCCAGCGAACGGCCAAAATCGCTTACAACGGAGATCTCTCTTAACGTAGGGGAGACCGGCAACCACAATAACAAGAACAGACGTTTCTTTTATTTGAATTCGGTAAGAAACTCAATATTTCAAAGAGCCGAAATGCACGCGAATACGAGCCGGTGGATCCTTGATAAATAACGGCACGAAGCAGTCCGTGAAGAGGACCCTTGCGGCTCCGGAGAAGCAGTTTGCCGACTCCTGCTCCAAGCGTTACCCGACATAAGCCACGCGGATCTCTCTTAACGGTTACCGGACATGTGCCATCGTTCGCCTGTGCAAGAGCACCCGAACGCGTAACCACGATGACGATCGCCCATCGCCCGCGTCTCTTCAGTTCTCAGATGCATCAATACCCTTAATCACGTACGTTTAAGGGTTTCAGGATCTACCGTTAGCAGGTCGCCCGCAAGCTCCCTTGCCACACATTGGCGCCTATTGCGAGCGCGCGCACGAACTCACTCACGCGCGCACGCGCACGCGACGAATGTAAATCTCGGGCGGACGTCTAATTGCCTTATCAGCTGCGCCTCTCCGTGTTTTGCGCGGTCGTCAATGTCGATCGAGCTGATTAAATAGGCCCTGAAATCCCCAGCTCGGCTCGTTGCTCGACCCCCACCCCGCCACCCACCCCGGCAGTGAATTAGGGAGATCATCAAAATTGAACGGTTCAAGACCCCCCCCCCCCAACTCACCCACTCACACCCCCATGCACCCCCCCCAACCCACCCACCCACACCCCCCATGCACACCACCCCCAACTCACCCACTCACACCCCCCATGTACCCCCCCCCCAACTCACCCACACCCCCATGCACCCCCCCAACCCACCCACCCACACCCCCCATGCACCCCCCCAACTCACCCACCCACACCCCCCATGCACCCCCCCCCCAACTCACCCACCCACACCCCCCCATGCACCCCCCCTCAACCCACTCGCCCACACCACCCATGCATTGACCACATATACTTGAACTGTTTGAGACTAGGCTCTACACAAAGCTGTCTCTGGTGTGGGCCAATCAGTTTCTAAGACAATGCATCATATACTGCCAGAGCATGCGTTTTTTTTGCATGTTCACCACAAGTTTATGTGCTTAATGCAGACATGATTCCTTGCAAATGGTTTCAGTTTGGTGTTTTAACATCTTGACACAACTGTTTTATTACCAGAAAGGGTAAAACCTATTCCCATACTGTATTTTGATCCTGGCAAGGGTAGGTGTCCCATGGCAATATTTCTGAGCGTTTTAATTTTTTTAAACGGCGCGTGGAGTCATCGATGAGCATCGATTCTCACGCTCGCCGTCCACGCGTCGTCGCATTCGTCAAAATCGGCGCAGAGTTCGATTCGCACCCCTCGTATCGCGGGACGGTGAGAGATGACGTAATGCTTGTGGGGCCTTCATCCAGCAGTGGATGGAACATGACCGATGATGACGATGGCGACGACGGTCCCGCGTGTACGTAGCGGGTTAGAGTGATCCCTGCAGGGACGAGTTGGCTGCTTAATTCACCACTGTAACAAAAAAAAACCCAATACTAATAATTGATACTAAACATTCTAAACCGAAGCGTTGATTGCGACACTTCATCAAATTGCAACGTGGGGAAATCATTCGACGCCAACCACTTACGCGATTAAAATTTAATAAGTAAGGGCCCGATCCTTCTCCCGTGGCGCGGCGCTTTAAACTGCGAAGGCGAGTCACTTTAAATTCACTCCCTTCCCTCACCGCCTCCGTCTCTCACCCTGGGGTGTAAACGCGGTGAGTCGATTGTGTGGTGGGGTAAAATGTGGGTACTCGCACCCCTTTGCAATTTTTTTTTTAGCCAGCGTAGAAGAGTAGGCCAAATACCCTCTCGAACGGGGCTCTTGTGAGTTGCCACCGATTGCAGTCCCTACTGCCAATGGTGACACAGGAGGAGGCACTAAACTAAGGCCCACTGAGCTATGGTAGCTCTTTTCAGAAGCGACCTGGTCACAAATGAGGGTAGAATGAGGAGGAGCCAGAGAAAAATCCACGCGACCACGGGGAGAGATACACCGCAAACTCCAAATATACAACAGCCATTAGGGTCGGGATCGAACCCACGACCTCCTGTATACCAGGCGAGGTAGTTAACATCTCCTAGCCACCATGGCGCCCTCATATCTGGAATACTGGGCCGCTGACACACAATGACAATATCTTGCGAATGACGATGATGGTGATGTAACAATCTTCCTCTTTCTCTCTCCCACTCTCTATCTCACTGACTGGGTTGTGCAGTGTATTGATTACAACACGCTGGCAACCCCATCTATCTAGCGGCAATTAACTGCACGTAATTTCCTTCCGTTTCGCGCCGAGCAATTAATCATAACCGCAAGCTACTGGGCCCCAATTCACACGAGTCGGCGTTTGGCCACACGGCCGGAAATGCTGGTCTCAGATTCCCCGTAGGAACTTAGCGATTTGCACATGTTTTTTTCAATTTCCCATAAATCCACGTCGCACCGGCCTACCAAGCGTCAGCAGCCGAGGGCGAAAGCGGCCATCTGCACCGCCCGATACCGGAACCAGAGCCTTTATTTATTGCCGGAGGAATCCGATGAGCTATGAAGCTCTTTTTTTCATCGATGTCCAGGAATATATATTGAGTGCACCTCAAGATGTGAATGCATTGAACAGACCTCACGCAGAGCCTAATGAAACAAATACAACAATATTACACCGGGCAATGGACTGGGAACCGTCATAGAAATATAACGCGATAAATTACAGACAATGAAAGGACAGGACGCGTTTTTGGTTTTAACACGTCAGGGCAGTTGAAAAGCCAAGTGTATGGTCGAGTAGCAGCAAGCCCGTGTGAGCCTGCAGACACGTGTTCGTAAGCCTCTGGTACTACGACAATCAACTGCTGGATGAAGGCCTTCCCATGTACCATGTCGTTCACGGGGACTGTTCGACCATTCTGTTTGACCATACTTCACCACGCAAAGTCAGCGCGGAGAGGTTGGCTCCCCGGGGGGCGCAGTTCAGATATCGCGCGCCGCCGATGTTAGCCGTGGCAGCGAGTAGAACTCGCGTTGCCGGGCACCGCAGCTGGCGCAGTGCGTGAACCACTGCGCCACCGCTCCACCCCAGACCACGACCGAGAGACCCTGGGTGTCCCAGGTCGGCCGTGAAACGTCGTTTGCCTCCCCTCTCTTCGTCAACCCCCCCCCCCCACCACCACCACCACAACCCCTACCCCCCTCCCCTCCCGGTCTCCTCTCTCCTCCCCGCGCTCGGCAGGGGAAGGTGGACCTCAACGACCGCTCCCCGGCCACAGAGCCCCCCACTTGGGGGGGGTTCTCTCGCCAGCAGCGACGTCTGTTCCACTGCTACGAGCGGCGCTGGGACGGTGAGTGGGGGGCCGACTGGATCCTAACGCACGGGCGGGGGGTTCGGCGAGGGGGGCGGGGGGAGTACCTGGGTGGCAAATGTTTTCAGTATTCATGATGGATAGTGTCCACCATGGGCTGTGTCCACCATGGGCTGCGTCCTCCATGGGCAGCGTCCACCATTAGCAGTGTCCATCATGGACCGAAGGCTTAGCGTGCACTCTGTATATATTTATGGAAGCACTGCGTATTTAATTTCACATTAGTAGAAGTTTCACATCACATTGGGGTCCGCCCCTCCCCCCCCCCCCCCCCAAAAAAAATGTTCTCTGTCAAACATTCCACGATATTTTATCATCCTTATTTTATTAGGTTTTTTTTCACGGTGACCTTGCTATCTCACACACACATTGGGATCTTGAGATAAAATGTTTAAAGAAAATCATTGTGAAGCGTTTGCCACCCTGTGTGTGGCACTGATAAAGCTATTTTTGTGCCAACGGGTCAAGGATCAGTGGGCCGAGTAGGAATTTTAAATACCTTCAGTGGGCCATACATCACCGCACTCCGCACACCTTAGCGGTTATGCAGTACGGGCGCCACGGTGGCTAGGAGATGTTAACTCCCTCGCCTGGTATGCAGGAGGTCGTGGGTTTGATCCCGATCCTGACGCCTGTTGTATATTTGGAGTTTGCATGTCTCTCTCTCTCTCTCTCCTCGTGCTGGCGTGGATTTTTCTCCGGGTCCTCCTGTTTTTCCATCCACATTTATAATCAAAATACGCATAAGACTATTTGACTGCTATACATTTCCAAATGACAAGCCACTTCGTTGAGTCGTCATCTGTGATAGCCAGGTCACTTCTGAAAAAGGGGCTCTACAGTTCAGTGGGCCTTACCATGGTAAAATAAAAAAAACAGTTCATAGTTTAGTTTAGAGTGAACGGATAGTTGCGTCCAGCGTCCAGGTGACCCAGCCACTTCAGAGTTAGCCAGCCGCCGTGAGCAGCAGTGCCTTGGTGCCAGCTGGAACAGTCAGCAACGCTGTTCCGGAAATTACTTTGGCACACAGCCACGTCCATTTCGCTTCGTTTTGTCCACACGACGTTTATTTTTGTCCTCGTGGGATTACAGCGCTGTAGGGCGCAGTAATTTCGGATTTTTTTTTCGTCTTTGGAAAAGTCATTGGTGACCTAGCTGAAATCATGATCGTCATCAACTCGATACCACACTCGAGAATCGGGTTTATATATACCACAGGTGGCTGCTTGGATTCGCAACTAGGATCTCAGCGCGGATTCGAAACTAGGATTTCAGCATGGATTAGAAACTAGGATCTCAGAGTGGATTCGAAACTAGGATCTCAGCGCAGATTCGAAACTAAGATTTCAGCATGGATTTGAAACTAGGATCTCAGCATGGATTCGAAACTAGGATCTCAGCACAGATTCGAAACTAGGATTTCAGCATGGATTCGAAACTAGGTTCTCAGCGGTGCTGGATCTCTGACCCTCTGATCCACTTGGCAACACGTGTTAATTTTTTTGGAAAATCACCCCCCTCTGCCCCCTCGCAACCAACAGCTGTTGCTGTTCGCTTATTCCAGGTGGGAATTACACGTGATCAACGTCGCTCACCACGTGCACGTGCCACGAGATGCCGTCCGTCTTAACTTGACAAATGATTTGGTGACGCTGCTTTTCTGCTGCTGCACTGGCAGCGGTGCACAAGCACAGCCGACAGTAATACCGTGTGTGTATACTCGACGACGTTTCGGGCAATGACCCTTCTTGATGGCACGTACATAGAGAAGCCAGGAGAGAGGCTGAGTTGGATGACAACAAGAGTTGGCGACTGCACTTATTTGCACCGTGGGGGCCCTGATTATAATTACATTTTAAAAAAACGTTTCCTGATGAATGGTGTTATTTTGTGTTTTGTTAAATTGACGTCTGAAAAGTTACCATAATAGTCATATAATAGAGTTTTTTTTGGGTTGGAGCGCGTAAATATAAATGTGTCGTTAAACCCGCCACCACTCTACACGGACAATTAGTGAGGTTACCAATCAGCAGCTATTGAGTAACGGACGAATCCCATTCCATCAATAGCTAAACACACTCCCGACTGTTTGCCGTTGTAACTTGCTGACCCGCCCATACCGGGCATCAGCGAAAAAGAGCTTCATAGCACAATCGCTTTCCTCCTCCAAGTCTAAACAAATATTCTGATTCTGATAAACCAAAAAGTTTCTGTATAGAACCGAATAGATTGCGTGTGGCTTGTGTGTGTGGGGGGGGAGGGGCTTGTGTTTTTTCCACACTTTTATTGAACTTGCCTCGTTGTCTGTTTACATTGTTTAAAATCTTTGACGAAGATTTCGACGAAGTTTTTACAAGCCCAACGAGCTGAAACTCTCTAGACAGACTCCTCCCTCTTCGCGTGACAATTCAAAATTTCATGAACAACAACAAAAAAACAACCGCTCCAGGTCCCGCCGTTCGTGGGTCTCTTCTTCGTGTGTGTGTGTCTGTGTTTTTTTCTTTCCAAAACCGAGTTACAGACGTGCTGCGAAACCGTTTCCTTCGCTGGCTGCTCCCAGTCCTGGACCCGCGCCAGCTCTACTTCCTGTCCACGCTCCTCGCGGTGAGTTGTGAGCCTCCTCCAGAATGAACGAAAATAATGTTTTCGTTATGTGACCAGGTAAGAGGCCCACGACTGAGCTATATGAAAAAGGTCATTTTCAGAAGCGACTTGGCTATCACAAATGATAGCTACAGCGAAGTGGCTTGTGTCATCGTGTTTGAAATGTATCGCAGTCAAAATACTCTGAACGCACGTTGATTCTACACGTGGAGGGGGAAAAAAAACAGACGAGGACCTGGAGAAAGATCCGTGCGCCCAAGGGCAGAACATACAAACTGCAAATATACCGGCGAAAGGGTTGACAAAGACACCTCGTACAGCCTTCAGCAGAACGTTGTAGGGGAAAGTGCCGTTAGCGAGCACCTATTAAGGTCCGGCGTGGCACAACGGCATGGGGATAGGTGGGCGGGTGGCCAACACCACGCCCGGCCGGCTCCCCCCGACCCCCCCCCCCCCCCGCAGGTACTCAATTAAGGCTGAGTCAACCTAGGGGTAGGCCCACCAGCACTGCGTTTAGGACTTTTCGTCAGTGTTACCGGTCACGAGCGGGATTCGAACTCTGGTCGCCGGGGTCCGTGGCGCAGTGCAGCCGCAGCGAGAAAGAGTGGCAAGAGAATGAAGAGCCGAAGACAGACACCAACCGGCAAGCATCATTGCCCACGTGGTGACAGGGATGTCACCACCTTTGTGGTTCGGGGCAACGCATTGGGTTGAAACGGCACTCGAATTTGAGTGTCATTTCCGAGAGACGTTTTTGAAGTTTGGTCGTATCGAACAGTCTTGTCAGCAACTCCCCTGCCAGCCCTCGGGTTATCATCATCATCATCATCGGCAGCATTGATGCGAGAGGTATAAAGGGACTCTTCTACTTACGAACTTTCAAATATACGAACAAACCTGTCCGTACGCCCAGTTGCCGGTTCGGACCGAAAGTCGTAAGTTCAACCGCTGCACAATAGATGGCGATAGTGGTGGTGGCATCTACATCTGCATAACATGAAGAACCAGTGCCATCAACGTCTACAGGAGATTATACAACTTTTAAAGCCATTCCCCGTGTTTAGTGTACATGCCGTGCAACTTGTTTTGGAACCGACATGAGTAATGTTGGACTTACAACCAAATCGACTTACGAACAGACCTCTGGAACCTGGCGCGTTCGTAAGTAGAGGAGTCCCTGTACTGGCTGTGGTGTGCCCAGAGCGGATGAATGTTCTGGGTCGTGCAACTGAAATGAATCCCTGAGCACCCCCTTTCTTATCTCATTTTATATTTCGAGAGCGCATTTCTTCAATGCGCTTAACGCAATAACAGATAACGACACAGGCAAAAGCGTATGCAGTACGAATGATAGGCCCTGCGTATTCTCAGGTGGACATGATCCATTGTAATTTATGTGACTGCATGAATCCCCCTCTGGTTTTCGCACTCGACAGGCTCACAGTGATGGCGTCACCTTCACTCTATTTAACGACCGAAGCATGAGGACTCGTGTCAATCGCCTGATGATGCTGGTTGCAATCACCAGCGAAACGTCGTACTCGAATGGTAAATGTTGTGGGTTTACTCTCCAACACACCGGTGTGTTGTACTAGTAACGAATTGGCACATTTCGTTTAGGTGACAAACCTTACTAATTGGCTGTGTCGGGTGGTGAAGGGTTTAACGATACGTTTATAAAAGAAAAACAAAACTTTATTATGGACAAATAGGGGCGTGCAAGAGATGAGGAATGGGTGGCCACGACATAGGGCGCTGCGTTAGGGAAAGGAGAGAAATGTAGGGGCAGGGACGAGGAAGAGAAATGGGCAAACGGAGAAGAAGCGGCGAGGCTTCAAGAGAGGCAGGGCAGGAGGCGAAGGCGAGGGACTGCTTAAATACTGAGAAGTGGCGACGGCGCATGTGGGCCTGCCAACACCCACGGGTGGCCAGCTGGTGGCATCCCGCCACCACCACCAGCAGCAGCAGCAGCAGCGCCACGCCTGCTGGGCCTCGCGGCGGCAAACGCGTGGCCAGCCCAGTTGCCACGCGCGCTCCGAACGGGGAGCGGTGGTGCAGTGGTTAGCGTGCTGCGCTACGAGCCCGGCCACCCCCGAGTTACGATTCCCGCTCGTGGCCACCAATAGCGCTGACGATTATCCAAATCGGTCATGGGGCCTCCGCTAGGTCGACCCAGTTTCAAATGAGTACCTCGTGCGGTGTGTAAATATCGATTGGTGCATCCGGCCATCAATCACAGTCACATTGGTATGCGTGTTGATTAAAATAGCCATCATCGAAATTATATATCAGCCACGGTCAATCCACTGCTGGATGAAGGCCTTCCCAAGCTGCCATGAGTTCTCGCGATCTGCTGATGTAATAAAATCTGAAGACAATCGCTGTGCGAGTGGCTCCTTGCGAACCGAGGACTGACTTTGCACTCGATATTTAACTCTGCCATGCTCGCCTCGGAGTCGGGATTATCGGCGTAAGGCACTACCACGAGAGTCCTCGGTACGCCTATGAATCACACCGTAATCCTATACTACTGTGCCCTCCATTGCTGCAATCTCACCAGGGTAAAATAAGTGTCGTGTGGGTAAAAAAAAAACGAGACTGATGTGGCTGGGTGCCAAAAACATTGCCGGAACATTGTTGCTGACTTCGCCTTCTCCAAACGAAGCACTGCTGCTCACGGCTGCTGGCTAACTCTGGAGTGGCTGGATCACCTGAACGCTGGACATCTGTGAAAAAGAGCCTCATAGCTCTTCGGATTCCTCCAACCTTCCGTTCAGTATAAACTGAAGTAAAACTTTTTGTTAATTTTTTTACCAGGTAAGGCCCACTGAGCCGCGTAGCTCTTTTTCAGAAGCGACCTGGCCACAAATGATAGCTCGACGCAGTGGCTTATCATGTGGAGATGTATCGCAGCCAAATTCTCTAAACGCGTGTTTTTAAAAGTGGAGGGAAACACCCAGAGGACCTGTAGAAAAATCTACACGATCACGGAGAACACGCAAATTCCGAATATACAGGCATCAGGGTGGGGATCGAACTCACGACCTGCTGTATACCAGGCGAGGTTGTTAACATTTCCTAGCCACCGTGGTGCCTACTCCACTACAAGAACCACCACCAGGACCTGTCGGATTCAGTAGCCGTTCGGGCAGTGGTCGTGTCAATCACCGACACCCCCCTTGTCGTTTTCACCACCGCAGGCGAAGAACCACCGGGACTTCGTGGCTCTGCTGCCGGAGAGCTTGGCCCTGCGAATCCTGAGCTTCCTGCCTCCCAGGGACCTTCTCCAAGCAGCAGGGGTGAGTACAGGGGGAGGGGCAGCAGGCACGGGGCCACGAAGAGGTTGAGGGAACCGGAGAGTGAGGAGGTTGAGGGGGGTGGAGGATGGGGCACCGTTGGACGCCTTGCGGCGGGACCCATGCCAAGATCTTTGTTTGTTTGATTTCCCCTCATTCTCACTTCAACTTGAGAAGCCCACAAGTCGTGCGAGGAGGCACACACGGCAGCCCGATCCCTGTGTGACCCTCGCTGGCGTTTGTACGCCGCTCGCACGCGCGTTGAACTTCGTTCGCACCGTGCGTGGGCCAACCGTGCCCACGGTGAGATGGAAGCGCGGGTTGCCGAGGCTCGGCGGCGTCGCGGATTTTGTTCCTCGCAGAATGAACTTGACGGACGGAGCGGTGCGGGAGCGGAGTCGACGTTTTGTTTCACCAGCTGGGAAACGCGAGAGGCATTGTCTGCCAGGAGGCGGCGATGAGTGCTCCTCTTTGGCAAAACGTGGACCCTGAAGCAACCAATCAAGTCTCTATTTCTAGAGCACTATTTCGCGCAAAAGATGCAAATGAAAGTGCTGTACCGATAGAAGAAAACGTTTTTCAAAGGCTAAATCGCAAGAACAATAAAAGCAATTTTCATACAAAACAAAATCGCATCGTAATAAATTGCTAGCGAAGATATATTAAAAAAGAGATAACACTATAAAATAATCTTAAGTAAAAGCAGGTTTAAAAAAGTAAGCTTTTAGATTTAACCTAAAATTGGTTAACGATTGCGAAGCGAATGACGTCAGGGAGCTCCTTTAACGTCCCATGTGTGGGTGGAGCAGACGACGCGTCGTCTTTTCGTGTGGTTAATACACCCCACAGTTATCATCCGGTGAGTGAATCGCGCTAATTTTATTTTTTTCTTATACTAGGTAAGGCCCCGTCCGAGCCATAGAGCACTTTTTTCAGAAGCAAATTATAGCCGAACGAAGTGGTTTATCACGTGGAAATTTCGAGCAGCCAAATAATCTGAATGAACATGTATTCTAAGTGGTGTCAGGGTTGGGATCGAACCCATGACCTCCTGTATACCAGGCGAGGTAGTTAACATCTCCAAGCCACCGTGGAACTCCGAATGAAACCGGCGACCCGAGTGCGGTTCCTGGTCGCGTCTAAAATCCGGTGACGAGTGACCTCTGAATCGGTTTCTGGACACTTGCTTCACAAAGACAAAAGGATCCCCCGGTATAGCCCAAACAGACCGCTGGGGCAAGTGCTGTTAGTGAGCACATATAAAGGTCGGCACGGTACACGAGGGGGTGGGTGGCCAGCACCACGCCCGACCGCCTTTGTCTCCCTAGTAGCGATGTTTAGACACCAAACCAGGTACTCATTTGAGGCTGAGTCGACCTTGGGGAGGAGGCTCAAGACCGGTTCAGATAATCGTCACTGGTGTTGGCCGTGAGCGGGAATCGGGTTCGTAGCGCAGCGCGCTAACCGCTACGCTACCGCTCCCCACCTGCTTCACAGAGCCGAACTGACGAGCGTGGTGAAGTATGGTCAAACAACTCCTCGTGTGTAAAAAATAATATTTTTTACCTACGTGACTTTACCGAAAAAACCAAAGAGTATGAATCCTTGCAGTCACGAAAGCTTCAAATCTAGAATTAACTCCTCGTGTCAATCATAAAATGTAGGGGTCGTTTCGCACACAGAAAACAAGTAGCGTATAGATAATATGTTCCAAAAAAAACCATCCCCACATTCCAGTGAATTTCACGGCAGTTACACGCCAACAAAGGGAATAATTTGCGGTAGTTTATAACTCAGCGATGGCATAGTCGTAGCGCCTATACAGGGACATAAATCTCCATTTATGACCAGGCGAAGGATCTTGCAGAGACGCGTGGCGCTTGGGATTACGCAATGGGAGACACGTGGCTAACTTTGTACGTATGTTGAACTTCTTTCGCACCGTACGTTGCCAACCACGCTGATCGGAGGTGCGGGGGTAGGACAACAAACTAACACATAAAAAGCAAACCGACACACCTGATGACGACCGTTTGTGTTATGGTCGAAACGTCGTGAGAATTTTTTTATTGTTTTATATATTTTTTATTATTTTATTGTTTCCCTTCAACGTGACTTTACCGAAAGAACTAAGAATATACATAAAAAGCAGTTCGAAAGAAATTAGTTTTCAATCGAGATTTCGAAGTGCATCGCTTCAGTGACGTCCTAGTATCGGAAGGGAAGAGCATTCCAGACGGCCGCAGAAGCGCATCTGAAAGCGCCACGCGATGCGGTGACCACCGTCTTTGTAGCGGGGGAAAGTCAATGGGCTCGAGTCGTTTGTCTTATACCAGCAGCAGTAGCGGCACTTGTAATTCAGCAGCACGCCGGCTCATGTCGGGGGATGCGTTCCTGAAAGGTGCGACGTCGCATATCGAAACGACGTTGCGTCGAAACGATTGACAGGGGTAGGTGGTGGAGGCGAAGGCTGAGAGACGACGGATAACGAGGACGGACGGACGATGGCTGTCAGCGACGTATAAGTGTGGGGGGGTTGAGGCCACGCAAATGGGGTTGCGGTATAAATAACAAAGTGACGACTTGTGCGCGAAACGACGTGAGAGGGGGAGACGTAAATCGGGGTCATTGTAATACTGTGGTATCTCGCACCTCCGATTAGTACTGTTGGCTACGTACGGTGTGAAAGAAATTCAACGTACATACATTGCAATTTTTCGTTAATAAATAACATAACATCAACATTATAATATTAATGTAATATTTTCTATGGTTGTGGGAACCAGGCGGTGTATATATTCGGACATGTGTGACAAAGAGCTTGATAGCTCATCAGATTCATCCAGTAGAGATACATATCCTGATGCTGATACTGGGTGAAATCGACATGAAATCCCATGGATCTCAGCAGTGGCCCTAAGTCGACCGATTCCAGAGTCTTGTGGATGACGTGGCTGGTCAATCACGACCACGACTCCGCGTGACCAGTCCCACGGGCCACCACCACCACCGCCAACGCCACCACCGTCACCGCAACCACCACCACCACCACTGCCACCACCACAACCCCCACCACCGCCGCCACCACCACCGCCACCGCCACCGCCACCCCCGCCGCCACCACCACCACCGCCACCACCGCGACCACCGCCAACCACCACCCGCCACCACCACCACCGCCACCACCACCACCGCCACCACCGCCACCACCGCAAACCACCACCACCGCCACCACCGCCACCACCACCACCGCCACCACCGCCACCACCGCAACCGCCACCACCGCCACCACCGCCACCACCGCAACCACCGCCACCACCACCACCGCCACCACCACCACCGCCACCACCACCACCCGCCACCACCGTCACCGCAACCACCGCCACCACCGCCACCACCGCCGCCACCACCCGCCTCCACCACCACCGCCGCCACCGCCGCCGCCACCGCAACCACCACCACTACCACCACCACTACCACCTCAACCACCACCACCACCACCTCCACCACCACAGCCACCACCACCGCCACCACCACAGCCACCACCACCGCCACCACCCCCGCCACCACCACCACCGCCACCACCACCACCACCACTACCACCCCCACCACCACCGCCACCACCACCACCGCCACCACCACCGCCACCACCGCCATCACCACCACCACCACCGCCACCGCCACCGCCGCCACCGCCACCATCACCACGGCCGCCACCACCACCACCACCACCGCCACCGCCGCCACCACCACCACCACCGCCACCGCCGCCACCGCCACCACCACCACCACCACCGCCACCACCACCACCACCACCACCACCGCCACCGCCACCACCACCGCCACTGCCACCACCACCGCCACCACCGCCACCACCACCACCACCACCACCGCCACCGCCGCCACCACCACCACCACCGCCACCACCACCACCACTCACTTTGCAGTCACCGCTCGCAGCTGGCATCACCGCTGCTGCTGTGCCCGGTGAACGTTGGCCCGATATTGGCTGCCGCGTGGGTGGTGGTGGACCGCACGAACGAACCTTGGGCCCCCAACGGCTCCGAAATTTTACTCGGGAGCGGCGGCCGTGGGTGACGTCGGCGAGGATGATGATGGTTGCCCTTCGTGTGGACAATGCTGCCCGCCACTGCGCGTGAGTGTGTACGTTGCACTTCAATCGCACCGTACGCAGCCAACCGCGCTAAAACGGAGGTTGCGTCGGGGAAGGACAGCAAACTAAACACGCACAAGAAGGGCAGTTCTGAATAATTGAGTCTTCACTGGGCAAGGAAGGGATTGGGTGGGCGGATGGGAGGGGGAAAGGGGGTGGGGGTACCGTAATCACCATCATTATCATCGTCCTCGTGTAAACGCGGCCTCTCCAATCGTTGATTTGCCAATTCGCCGCTGCTGCTACTGCTGTTGATGCCTTTGCTGGCATCGTCCCCAAACAAGATTGGGATTCACGTGCAGGCGCCTCCCCCCCCCCACCATCTCCCCCGCTACCGTCCTGCGCTCGAAATTGAACCGTGTGTGACTATCACATCGGCGGTGCAAGCTCATTTGGAGACTTCCGGTCTTTTGCACTATAAAATAAACACGCAGTGATATCCGCAGAAGCAAAGCCTATGTCGAGGTGGTCAGACCTCGGAAGCAAGGGTTGAGCCTGGACAGTGATCGGATGGGGGACCATCGTGTCGTAGAAGATGGGTAGAGCAAGTGTTGTGGGCACGAGAGAGAGCAGTACAGCAGTACCCACTGTTATTCCGCACTCCCTCCACCTTGATAAACCTGCACTGAACCAGAGTGGGGAAGTATGATTATAATAATCGAGTTAAGTTTTATATACAGGGTGCTTCAAAAAGATGTTAACACTTCGGAGAATTTGCAACAATACCACAAGACGTGTACTGCTGCCTCCAGGCTCTGGAGACCACGTGGAGAAGATTCCAGGCCACGTGTCGACAACGATGGCGCACAAGCGGAGACTCTTTGACATTTTGAAGCTCTTAACATCACATTTTTTATCATGTTACAGTTGCATTATCCGTTCTTTTTCCATTGAAAACGAGAGTCCCGTGTAAGTGTTAACATTGTTTTGCAGCACCCTGCATATAGCATCGTCAGTTATGCAAATTGCATCTCACTATCGCCCAGGAACCACAGACAACGCTGGAAGGCTGCGACCAGCCGGTGGGCCGGCACAAACAATTTTGACGCCTTTTCCTGGCGAGCCAGGGTACGAATACAAAAATCGCCCGTGTAGCCTTAACAGACTGTAGGGGCAAGTGCTGTTAGCGAGCACCTATGAAGGCCGGAACGGCACGCGAGGTGGCGGGTGGCCAGCACCACGCCCGGCCGCCTTCGTCTCCCGAGCGGCGATGTTTACTACACACCGCACCGGATACTCAGGCTGAGTCAACCTCGGGGAGGCCCAGGACCGGTTCAGATAATGAGCCAGGGGATACGGCACCACGTCGACACGCACCCACGACTGCCCGGTGATCCACCAACCCTCGCCGCCCGCTGCCTCCACAGCTGCGGGGTTACAGGCAAGCCACGTGCGTGAAGCGAAAGCCGCCACCGCCACTGGCTGCCCTCACCCGGGTAGCCGTGGGTTGACAAAGCGGGCTGAGCACGTGCCCGGGGGCATAGGTCGAGCTTGCGGGGGGCACGGGGGGGGGGGGGGGAGAGCAGCCCCTCCCAAACTGGGCACCTTTGTGAGTTTATTTCCAGTAGTTTACAATTAAGATTACATATATATGAATCATATGCACCCGTGATTCCTCATGTGAAGGACAAAGCGAACCCCTGCCACCCCTCCTCCTCCTCCACCCCCAAGTATAGAAGTCGAAATCTGTCTATGCCCCAGGGGTCAGGGGAGGCGTGAGTGGGAACCCTGCATGAGATGCGAAAAACGACGAAATCCAAACGCAATGCCACCGTGAAGCACGATGATACAGACATCGCGGAGAGGCACCGTGCCGCGGTGACGCGGACGCGCAACAACACGGTTCCAATCAACAACACGGTTCGAATCAACAACACGATTCGAATCAACAACACGATTCGAATCGACAACACGATTCGAATCGAACGGACAGCGTAATGTGAAGAGCGAGGAGCCACCCTGAATTCAAATTTTTGTTCATGAAAATGAACTCCGCGGAATCCACCGCGGCCTCCTCCTCCTCGCCCGTCGGCGGCCCTCGCCGCGCAAGAAGAGGATTAAAGCCCACTAATGAATCACCTCCAATAAAATTAGCCTAGTCGGCAAAAAAACCCAGCTAAAACAAAATAATGAGGCAATAATAATAATAGGGAGAAGTTGAATCAACGGGATACGAAATATAAATTTTGAAATAAAAAAAGAACACCACTTAAAAAAAAAACCGCTGGCATCGCAGACCGTCGCGTGATGCCCGAAAGGACAGCGCAGAATAACGGCACCGTCAATGTTATTACTCCGCTCAGCGGGAGTGAATTGAACCTGTCAGACTCTACAGTTCACGCGTGGGCACGATGCGCCGGAGATAAAGATCCCACCCCACGTGTAGCCTCAGCAGACTTTCGGGGCTAGGTGTTGTTGGCGAGCAGCGCGCCTATGAAGGCCGCCACGGCACGCGAGGAGAGTGGGTGGCCGGCACCACGCGCGCACCGGGTACTCATTCGAGGCCGAATTGACGTAGGAGCGGCCCAGGACCCGTTCGGATACCGCACGCGGTGCACGAATAACGGGCGTGCACAATGCTCGCACACACGCGGGTACGCACACACGCACGGGCACACACACACGCACGGACGGGCACACACTCACACACACGCACGGGCACACACGCACGGGCACACACGCACGGGCACGCTCCGCACATACGTATTCCGCTGCGGATCCTCGTAGAGCGAGCGAAGATGATCTAACCGGTCACATAGGAGACGTAAATATACAAAGCCACACCGCAAAAACAAAAAGATTCCCGCTTGTTTGGGGGGGGGGGGGGAAGTCTCCCCACGCCCCCGCATCAGCCACGGGGGGCGAGGGTTGTTTGATAATACTTCACCGCTCTGGTTCGTGAGGATTTGGTGGAGTGCGGGAGGGAGGATCCAGTGTCAGGGATCCGTTGTCACCCTCCACTCATGCCACCCGCCACTCATGCCACCCACCACTCATGCCACCAGCCACTCATGCCGCCCGCCACTCATGCTACCAGCCACTCATGCCACCAGCCACTCATGCCACCAGCCACTCATGCCACCCACCACTCATGCCACCCGCCACTCATGCCACCAGCCATTCATGCCACCCACCACTCATGCCACCCACCACTCATGCCACCAGCCACTCATGCCACCCGCCACTCATGCCACCAGCCACTCATGCCACCAGCCACTCATGCCACCAGCCACTCATGCCACCCGTCACTCATACCACCAGCCACTCATGCCGCCCGCCACTCATGCCACCAGCCACTCATGCCACCAGCCACTCATGCCACCCGCCACTCATGCCACCCGCCACTCATGCCACCCGCCACTCATGCCACCCGCCACTCATGCCGCCCGTCACTCATGCCACCCGCCACTCATGCCACCAGCCACTCATGCCACCCGCCACTCATGCCACCCGCCACTCATGCCGCCCGTCACTCATGCCACCCGCCACTCATGCCACCAGCCACTCATGCCACCCGCCACTCATGCCACCAGCCACTCATGCCACCCGCCACTCATGCCACAGCCTCTCATGCCACCCGCCACTCATGCCACCAGCCACTCATGCCACCCGCCACTCATGCCACCCGCCTGGCAAACTCGGGTCGCTGAGTTCACCCAGCGGTATCATCGACGCGCAACACCGCGGTTAGTCGATCGGCAGCTGGGGGGTCGTGTGTGATGGGGTATCGTGTGGATTCTTTCCACCTCTTCCACGACGTCTGGCCAACCTGAAAGAGTAGGCCAAATTACCCGCGCGATGCTCTCTCTATCCATAACCTCCTCTAGTGGAACGTCCCCCCTTCCACCAGCAGTGGCCGGAGCAAGCAATTGGAGGGCTGCGCCTTAACCTTTCCGTTACGCCTCCTCTCCACGTTGAACTTTTTGCTTATGAAATGCCATGCGGTAAAATGTCGTCATCATCATCATCACCATCGTCATCGCGATGCTCTGTGGTTTTTTGTTGTCAGGTGAGCAGGGCCTGGCGTCGTCTCTGCAATCACGGCTCCCTGTGGTTTCCTGGATGCGTACGGCTGGGCGCAGGTGCTTCTCTCGTGCCACTCAACCCCTCGTGGACCCGCGCACTCCCAAACGATAAGGGATGCCCCCCGTGCCCCCCCCCACCCCCACGACAAGACGCAGCGGAGCGAGACAAATGAGCGTCTTGCCTCAGGGTTTACACCACCACCTCAAACCCCCCTCCACCCCGACCAGCCTCTGCCAACTTTTTTCGCGACCGGGATTAAAAAGTAGTCGCTTTCAGTGAGCCGCTAAGTAAATAAATAACAGCGCCGAGTTGATGTTGTTGTTTGTTGTTGTGGTCGTCGCTGAGAAGGAATGGGACGTTTTGGCTTCAGTAGACTTGCCACGTAAAACATGAAGGTTTGGGGAATGGAGGGATTGAATCCACACTGGGAACGGCCGTTGTGGGTGGTGGCGGGGTAGAGGCATCCCAACCTCTTGAGGTATAAAATAATCAATGAAAAACAATGCCAGGAGATAGCATGGGAATCGGGAAGCAGAATATCTCACAATGCTGGGAGAGGGAAGGAGATGGGCAGGTCAACATCTTGAGTGATGGAATATTGCCGCGCAACTGATATATATATATGAAATGGATTATTCATGTCCCAGCGAAGGCTTACAGAGAGTTGTTAGGACAAATAAAAATGTAAAAAAACGATTTCACTGGTATTATTGCCCAAACTTTGCAATTCTTAAATATTGCCTGAAAATGACTCAACTGGGATTAGAAATCGTCACGTCTCGCCCAATTTGCGAACACTTGACACGACCCTCCTGATAATAACGCCGATGATAATATTATTATGATAATATAAAAGATAGCTCGAGCAAGAGGGCCGATCCTGAGTCAATAGAGACAATTACCAACACGAGTGATGCTCGTGTCCAAGATACGACTCAGCTTGCCTTGAAGATGGGGACCTAAGCAAGTGTCCATCGCTGCCTACTCCCTGCCCCTTAGGGGCCGTCCATAAATGACGTCACGCACCTGGGGGGGGGGGGGTCAGACATTTGTGACGATGTGTGACGATGGGGGGGGGTTGAGTAAATGTGACGTCACATCAAAATGTGCAACTTTAAATAAATATAGACAACACGTTCTACTTAATTAAATAGACGTTTTAATAAATGTTTTCTCCTACAACATCAGAGTGCAGCGCCACATTAAATACGCACTACAATGACAATAGTTTAAAGCGATTTGAAGCATGTGTTTTTTTTGGGGGGGGGGGCAGAGCTTTGTGGCGTCATATTTGAGGGGGGGTCTGACTTTTTGTGACGCCGTGTGACGAGGGGGGCGGGGGGGAGGGGGTCAAAAATCGTCCCAAATCGTGTGACGTCATTTATGGACGGCCCCCTTATTCTATCACAAATTCAAGGTCACCCCCTCTTGTCTACTCCTCTGCCGGTGTCCGACTGCGGTCTCTACGTTAAATAAATACGCCCACTGTTCCCTTGCAGCACTCGTCTCTCGAGATTGCACAGAAATCAAAGTTGCATTGGGTATCGCATTTTTATTTTCGTGCAGCCGTGACCCCACGCCGTGACCCCATCATCCCCGCCCCCCCCCCCCCTCTTTTCCTGACAGCAGCGTCGTCACCGCTGCGCGGCTCGAATCCGGTTGGCCGCCCCGGTTATAACTGCGGTGCGTGTTTAATAACGCAAGCAAAAAATGCGAACGCGCCGCTCGCCTGTCCTGTGCGTGGACGGTAACGATCCTGCGACGCTCACGCGGGCGAGGGTAGCGGCACGTGTTCAGCGGGGTGCTACGATTGTTCGAATGTGCCGCACGTGGACAAAATTAAACCTGCATTTTGTGATGACACGCACACGCGCACAGAAACATCGCCCTCTCCTCCCTACTCACAAACTACCGACAGCTACATTTGGCGAAAAAAAAACCCCCATAGCGGGCGCCTTCCTTGGCGATCGAGAGCCTTAGGAAATTCCGCAAATAACAAATGCGCTAAAATCATTAAAAAAAAATTCATAATCATCACCGCCATCATCATCATCATGATCATCATCATCGTTTTTCTTGTTTACTCGACAGCCACGGCGCTCGACGTGACGAGCTCCTCCTCCTCCTCCTCGTCGTCGACGCGCTGGCGAGCCGCCTACTGGCGCGCGGTGCGCACGCGGCGCAACTGGGACAAGGGCGCCTACAGGCAGCGCCTGCTGCTACGCGGGCACGTCGGCACGTACGTCACAGTCTCCCCCCTCCCCCCGGGACCCCCCCCCCCCCTATTCCTCCCCCCCCCCGGGACCCCCCTCATTCCCCCTCCCCGGGACTCCCCCCATCCACCCCCCGGGACCCCCCCACCCCGCACGCAGCTCGCGGTACGGGCTTAGCCACGCGGTGTGCAAACACGAATTCTTTATATTTTTTTACTCTTTCCAATTAAGGTTGCGAGTTTTTTGTTGTTGCGCGAAGCTCCGTCTGTCCGTTCTGTTTGTCCGTCTGTCTGTGCGTCCATCCATCTGTCTCTGCCCGTACGTCTGTCTGTGTGTCGGTCCGTGTGTCTGTGTATCTGTCCGTGTATCTATGTCCGTCTGTCTGCGCGTTGTCCGATCATCAAACAGTGCCAAGCCTAGTCCCGGACAACTTGACATCGGCTGTGTTTTCGGTGGTTGTTAGTGCAGCGCTCAGCAGCTGACTGAGGTCGCCGGTTCGAACCAGAATATTTATTTAGACAGCAGGAGGAATCCGATGAGCTTTGAAGCTCTTTTTCACAGATGTCCAGTACGGGGGCACGGGGTCAGAGCGTTACAACAACTCTCCGCGCGGCAGTTGAAGCGCGTTTCTATAACACCCCCCGCCGCCACCCAGCAGTAGACACACAGCCACGGTTCAGGCGACCGGCAGGTCACGCACCCCATGCGGCGGGGTGAAGTGTGGGCCAATTCCCAAACTCCACCGAGATGCGTGACCAGTGTGGAAGAGAAGGCAGAAATGTCCAGGAGAAGGGCCTCTCGGGGAGCTCCCCGACGGTGGAGGAGCCCTTCGGGCAGCGGTGGCGTAAACGAAGCTTTTTCAGGGCCGCGCCTTTGCCACCTTGAGCTTCGAGAGAGCGCAGCAATGTTGGCACGCGGTTGATTTAAACAAGAAACGCACTCCGTCCAATTATTACCACGAATACGCAGAATGCAATACTATAAGCGGGGGGGGGGGGGGGGGACATTCGCCATAAATCATCGAGAGGAAAGTTGCCCGGCCCTCGCCCACCCTATCAACCCACGAAAACTGCACGGTACTTTTTCTCTACGCTCCACTGAAAAAGTGGAAACAGGAGAAGCATTCTAGAGAGTAATCAATGCCGCCTGTAATTGCACGAATATATCCTGAAATCGGTCAGTCGACACCAGTCGGCTGCAGACGGAAACCTGGAAGGAAGAAAATAAACCTAAATAGAAAAAACCCCAACAGCAGTAACCAGATGCCCGGGGCATTTTTTTTATACCTGAAATGCGATTTATACGGCATCGTAGACGCCACTGTGAATTTGATCTCGCGTCACGGAGCAGAGCGTACGGGCAGAGGAGTTCCCGATGGTTTTTAAGAGCGGTGCACGCCGAGTGTGTGTGTGCAAGTGGAGTGTGTGGAGTGGGTGTGTGCGTGTGGAGGGTGTGTTTGTGGTGTGGGTTTGTGCGTGCGAGTACGGTGTGTGTGTGCGAGTGGAGTTTGTGTGTGCGAGTGGAGTCTGTTAAGGCTGCACGGGGGATCTTTGTCTGCGTCTTTGTACTGTGTAGTGTAGCGGTCAGCGTGCCTCGTTACGAACCCGGGCGACCCGAGTTCGATTACCGCTCACGGCCAACGCCGTGGTGTCTGGGCGCCTCTCCAGAACATCTCTCTGTCTCAGAGCGAGCGGGCACTACTGCGCGTTACAAATGCTCGATGGTGATTTAAACGCGAGGGTCCCCCGGCGCAGGGCGGACAGCCTGAGATGGCCCGAGGGGAATATTTGTGTTTCCTTTGGAGCGGAGTGAGCGGTGGGGGACGCCTGTGGTCTGGATGACAAATTTGTAAATCGGTAATTGTCACTCGGCAGGGGTGGGTGGGTGCGCAGCCCCCCCACACCCCCACCCCCAAGCCCCCCACGTCCCAATCACGCAAAAATCCTCGAAGATATTTCAGAGATTAAGATTTTAATTACGGTTTGTTTGAGTTGTCCGCCAGAAAATGTTGTTAAATTAAGACACCGCGGTGTTTTTTTTATGGCGTGCCAACAACACGGTTAGCAGGGGGCCGGTGATGAGGGCTACTACGCAGAATTATACCCCCCCCCCCCCACACACACACGCACACACGCGCATACACGCACACACGCACACACAAAGATCCCCCGTATAGCTTTAACATACTGTAGGGGCAAGTGCTGTTAGCGAGCACCTATGAAGGCCGGAACGGTACACGAGGGGGTGGGTGGCCAGCACCACGCCCGACCGCCTTTGTCTCCCTAGTGGCGATATTTACACACCGCACCAGGTACTAATTTGAGGCTGAGTCGACCTAGGGGAGGCCCGGGACCGGTTCAGATAATCGTCACTGGTGTTGGCCGTGAGCGGGAATTCAACCCGGGTCGCCAGGTTCATAGCGCAGCGCGCTAACCGCTACACACATTCACACACACGCGCACACACGCACACACACGCACACACGCACACACACGCAGACACGCGCACACACACGCACACAAGCACACACGCACACACACACATGCACAGACAATCCTCCACTCTGAAGATAAGCACGCCACCTCTGCACCGTCCAGCGAGAGTGCGTGCGTTTGTGTTTGGGTGTTAGTGCAACAGAATGGCCCGGTCAGCTAACCCTGTAACGGAATGGCCCGGTCAGCTAACTCCATAACGGAATGGCCCAGTCAGCTAACCCCATAACGGAATGGCCCGGTCAGCTAACCCCATAACGGAATGGCCTGGTCAGCTAACCCTGCAACAGAATGGCCCGGTCAGCTAACCCCATAACGGAATGGCCCGGTCAGCTAACCCCATAACGGAATGGTCCGGTCAGCTAACCCCATAACGGAATGGCCTGGTCAGCTAACCACATTACGGAATGGCCCGGTCAGCTATTCCATAACGGAATCCCCCGGTCAGCCAACCCGTACCACCCGGGCCCGTCCCGTGACCTCCTGCCAGCGAGTTCTGTGTACGATGCTTGGTGTGATGACCTCAAAGTGCACCCGGCGTGGCACAAAGCGCTGTGGGTAATCGCGTCGCCGCTGCTTCAGTTTGCGAGCAGCGGCTGTCCTCGTGTTCCATCATGGTCGCGGAGCGTGTAAGCGAGTTGGGGGTTGTGTGGTGTCTGTGTGTAAGCGAGTTGGGGGTTGTGTGGTGTCTGTGTGTAAGCGAGTTGGGGGTTGTGTGGTGTCTGTGTGTAAGCGAGTTGGGGGTTGTGTGTTGTGTGTGTGTAAGCGAGTTGTGGGTTGTGTGGTGTCTGTGTGTAAGCGAGTTGGGGGTTGTGTGGTGTCTGTGTGTAAGCGAGTTGGGGGTTGTGTGTTGTCTGTGTGTAAGCGAGTTGGGGGTTGTGTGTTGTCTGTGTGTAAGCGAGTTGGGGGTTGTGTGGTGTCTGTGTGTAAGCGAGTTGGGGGTTGTGTGTTGTCTGTGTGTAAGCGAGTTGGGGGTTGTGTGGTGTCTGTGTGTAAGCGAGTTGGGGGTTGTGTGGTGTCTGTGTGTAAGCGAGTTGGGGGTTGTGTGGTGTCTGTGTGTAAGCGAGTTGGGGGTTGTGTGGTGTCTGTGTGTAAGCGAGTTGGGGGTTGTGTGGTGTCTGTGTGTAAGCGAGTTGGGGGTTGTGTGGTGTCTGTGTGTAAGCGAGTTGGGGGTTGTGTGGTGTGTGTAAGCGAGTGGGGGGTTGTGTGGTGTCTGTGTGTAAGCGAGTTGGGGGTTGAGTGGTGTCTGTGTGTAAGCGAGTTGGGGGTTGTGTGGTGTCTGTGTGTAAGCGAGTTGGGGGTTGAGTGGTGTCTGTGTGTAAGCGAGTTGGGGGTTGTGTGGTGGTCTGTGTGTAAGCGAGTTGGGTGGGGGTTGTGTGGTGTCTGTGTGTAAGCGAGTTGGGTGGGGGTTGTGTGGTGTCTGTGTGTAAGCGAGTTGGGGGTTGTGTGGTGTCTGTGTGTAAGCGAGTTGGGGGTTGTGTGGTGTCTGTGTGTAAGCGAGTTGGGGGATGTGTGTTGTCTGTGTGTAAGCGAGTTGGGGGGTTGTGTGGTGTCTGTGTGTAAGCGAGTTGGGGGTTGTGTGGTGTCTGTGTGTAAGCGAGTTGGGGGTTGTGTGGTGTCCTGTGTGTAAGCGAGTTGGGGGTTGTGTGGTGTCTGTGTGTAAGCGAGTTGGGGTTGTGTGGTGTCTGTGTGTAAGCGAGTTGGGGGTTGTGTGGTGTCTGCGTGTAAGCGAGTTGGGGGTTGTGTGGTGTCTGTGTGTAAGCGAGTTGGGGGTTGTGTGGTGTCTGTGTGTAAGCGAGTTGGGGGTTGTGTGGTGTCTGTGTGTAAGCGAGTTGGGGGTTGTGTGGTGTCTGTGTGTAAGCGAGTTGGGGGTTGTGTGGTGTCTGTGTGTAAGCGAGTTGGGGGTTGTGTGGTGTCTGTGTGTAAGCGAGTTGGGGGTTGTGTGGTGTCTGTGTGTAAGCGAGTTGGGGGTTGTGTGGTGTCTGTGTGTAAGCGAGTTGGGGGTTGTGTGGTGTCTGCGTGGAAAGAAGGAAAGCGAGAATGGGTACCAGCTTCGTGGAGATGGAGCGATGAAGTCAGCTCGCGTGCAGGTGCTGGGCGCATTTGGTACATCGCGGGACTGTGAGAGATGGTGATGGCTTAGGGGGAGGGGGTGGTGCTTCATCCAGCAGCGGAACGAACATGGCTGATGATGACGCTGTGTGTATATGCATAGAGGCGTATATGTATGTATGTATGCATCTATCTGTGGGTATTGGTAGCGTAGTGCAGTGATGTGCGGTGAGGTCAATGGCTGGGGAGGCACTGGCTAGTGTCAGAGCCAGATTCACGCACTGAGGGAGGCGTGTCCTCACGGAGGGGGGCGTGTCCTCACTGAGGGGGGCGTGTTAGACACGTCCCCCTCAGTGAGGCAGATGTGATAGCTGCCTCCCCTGGTGCTTTTTCATTGCAATTTCATGACGAGACCAGCGAGCATAAATATATTTATACACATACGTGAAATAAGTTACCTGGAGTATGGAAGGCGAGGACAT